AACCTTTTTGCTATTTCCTTAAAAAGCCTTACAGCGCTAGGACCCCATCAAACTCATACCGTCCGGTCTCTTGCCATCGTCTCTTGCAATACCAGTCGGCTCAAGTAGACTTGGCACGTTAACGGTGGCCAGGGGCCGGCGTATGATATCGTTAAGTGCGGCATGTCTCGAGAAGCGACATATTATACAAACATTACATTCAAATTGTTAGGTAGTGAAGTGCGCCTAAGTCGGTTACATGGTCTAAAAGGTTATTTTACATTACACTGTACTTTTTCCAGTTTTAAATCTAATTTGCATTAATTAGAACATAAACAATTATTACCTACTAGAGTTCGAACATAACGTTTTTATTTTTTTCTGTCTTTAATATTTAATTTGTAAACATAAAAAACGTTATTAAATTTTACTTTAAGGGCTACTGTACTTCACTGACGATGTATCTAATTTTCTCTTTCAAATCTTAAGCTCCTTCGTTTCCAGTCTGATTGATATCTGGGCCGAGTTTCTATTTAAAAAATAATGTACATATTAATTACTATTCAGTACTAAGTACCGCTGAAACCGCTTTTCAATGTGTTCTTTTGGTTTTATTTATTTTTGGAGAGATGGTTGAATACCTTGACTTTGGATAGACTTTTGCTCTTAATCTGCCTTAATCCATAATCTTTTTCTTCCTTTAACCCTAAAACTATTCAAGACAGCCATACTCAAGAGACACTTGTAATACTTCATGGTGACTTCTTTTGCCTTAATCCAATTTAATCAAACTAAAAATTTTGGTGACGCCTATGAGACGGTCGTAAATAGTAACATCATTAATAGAAAATCATTCTGACACCAACTCAGACACGCTAAAATCCAATTCTTATTTTTTATCTAGCTTACTTAAATTCAATCAAAGTCAAATATCAAGCCACTAAGCCGGAGTGCTGTTGTAAAACAAATAAAAGAAAATCACACTCAAAGACGCTAAAATCTAATGCTTTTTCGAATCGGATGGTATTTCTTTTTCTTACTCAAATTTAGTTAAACTCTAAAGGTAATTTACATCTTTAAGTGAGGTCATTAAAATGCTTAAAGAAAATCTCAACCCCTCATTGTTATTTTTTTTTTGTTAAAAGGGTAGCAAGTCAGCATGTGGCCCAACTGATGTTACGTCTGACGTCTCACGTATGGTCGTATACGTACGTATGGTCACCATGACCTTAGATTAGACGCTTACGACACCAAAAATAGCACTTACGCCGTTGCCTAACCTGACCCAATACCCTACCACATGGAGCCCTGGAACCCTCCTCAACGTCAGAAACACAACACCACCAAAAGATTTATTTTACGGTGATCTTCTTCAAGGTGAATATTACTTCCCCAGACGTGTGCTCCAATTCGAGCGGAAATTCCGCTACGCCCTACCTCTGTTAATGTTCTATTTTTTTTTAATGTTTTAATTTGTCATACCCTTGACAAGGCTAATAAAGTACCATTATTGTTTCCTAACATTTTCAATTAAAAACACAGAATGTTCAAATATCGTTCCACATTCTGAATTGTTCCAGTGAAAATTCGCAGCAACATTGTCGCCTTTCGCTGGCAACATTAGTTTTCAACAAAGCCATAGAAAACAGCTCGAACAATGATCCTGAATCGGCGCCCGTTAGGGTTGTCACACACTAGATTTACCACATACATATCTTTTGAGGATATGTATGTGGTAAATCTTTCTATATTTTTTGAGGAGCTCGATGGCGCAAGTGGTTAACGCGTTCGGCTGCGATCGTTGAACTTAAGCAAATTTCGCAGTGGTCGGTCATTGGATGGGTGACCAAAAATTACTATCTCGAGCTCCTCCGTACTTCGGAAGGCACGTTAAGCCGTTGGTCCCGGCTGCATCTGCAGTAGTTAGCACCCACCAAACTGCACTGGCCCCGCGTCGTGGATCATGGCCCAATCTCCCTATTCCATCCATAGGGAACGCCTGTGCCCCAGCAATGGGGACATTAATAGGCTGATGATGATGATCTTTCCATATATGTGGTTTCCGTACTGAAAAGAAGAGATCTCTTTTCCGTTGATTACCTAGGTGGAAATATTTAGAATGCAAATGTTGAAAAACAAAATAACAAGTTTTCAAACTTTAATTATAATTATGTTGACTTGAACTTTACTATAAAATTTGCTTTTTAAAAAAATAAAATCTTTAGTTTTCACGTATGATTTATCTCTGTTTCTTAACATCCTTTACTTGGAAAAATCCAAACTTTTTAATGAAGACTAGCTAATCACTCCATTAACATCTAATTTTAACTGGTGTTATTGTAAGTAACTCTTCGTTTCAAGGAGGAGTAAAAACTAATGACTGCTAGTAAAAAAATCTCTTTCCGCACAGACTCTAATATGTTTTATTTTTATTACGATTACGTTTAGCAAAGGTTTTACTGTCGCTCTTACCAGTATTAAAAATTATCTCATCTTTAATATTCCGCCAACCTACGAAAGGGTACATGTATATTCATGCTGCCCATGAGCCTTTTCTTCGACCCACTTTTCCCAATTCCGAACCCTCAGCTTTGGAGTCCTCTACTGAATATTTAATTAACGTTATAATAAATTTTTAACCCAAAAAATTAATACGAAGACAATTTGGGCTCATTACATAGCCAGCCCTATACTCGCTCGCTTTCGCGCTGTGAGAACGTTCACACCTGTCCAAATTGGTTTCTGTAAGTTGCTGGGCCCAGGAAAAATATCCTCTACCCCTCTGAAAAATACCTTTTCAACTCTTTGTTATGTTACACTCCGGGTTATATTGATGCCGTTTGAATTTTACTGTTTCATTGTTTGTTTAAAGCCTGAACCAGAATGTTCGAGCTAATGGTTGATAGCCGTTGATTTTTTTAAATATTTTTCCAAAGCATTATTTTCAGTCGGTCATGTCGTATCTGCTCATTTTACTATGTATTACTTACTAAGTATAAGAAATTGTGTAATTTATAGATAAATAATATCTTTACAGATTAATCGTGACTTACATTTTGATTCAATGTATTAAACCGTAGAAATTATCTACGCTTAGCTTAAAGTATTTTCTCACTCAGAACTTACAAAACTGGTGTTATATAACATCTTATATAGCTTTAAGTGTTTAAGAGCAATGCTTAGGTACACGTATAACGTAACACAATAAATATAAACAAGGGGACTTAGTGAGGTGCCCTGAGGAATGCCATGATTGTATAAGCCTAATTTTGACATTGTGTTAATTTAACATGTCATATTAAACGTTGTACAGTAAAATATAACAAAGAAAACAAGATTCTAATTTAATATTATCAACAAGAAAACTACGAAACAGTAACACTACACTGATAAAACGCTTTGAGGAGTACTAGACTCACTGTCAAATAGCCGTCAACGTGTTTAATTAGTTGTTTTACGTATTTATTTTTATTTTTTCTATTGTTTTCCTTATTCGTGCCTCTTTATTTTCAAACACTGATTAGATGCCTAGGCCTTAGGATTGACTTAGATCACTACTTTACCACACAAGGCTGTTACCTTTATGTTTCACGGACACTAGCTTCTTTTTAGCGTACTCCTGACCTCACACACGTACAAATGCCCGCAGTTACCTCAACTCTTGGCTTCCAACACCTTCGGTCTTCGATGACAGTCTATAGGCTGTCATTACATCTCATTGGGCGGCGAACTACCTCAGTTCTCGCATCTACCTCGTCTCTGTTTGTTACTCTTAAGGGATAACGATTAATGGTTAGAGAATTTTGATATACACTTTCACCTTACTATCAAATAACAATACCATCATTGATCTTTTCTAAATAATTAAAGGTGTATTTAAAAAGATGAGAGCGAAAAGTCCCTTAAGGGTATGCATGTGATGTGCGGCTCCCGAGCACGGTTGGTGTGGTGGGTTGTTGGTGACGTTGTTATGGGGCAGCGGCGACATGGGGCGAGTGCCCGCCGGCGGTGCGGGCCCTGTTCGAACCGCCCCGGCGGGCCCCCGTCCGCGCGCCCCCCCTCACCCGGTACGCCGCGCCCGACGGTACCATCCTGCTGCTCACCGAGAATGGCACCAGACTGATGACCCGTGCTGCTGCCGCCAGCTTCCTGCGTGCCGCCCTCCTCTCCCCGCGACCCCCTCGGCCCCGCCACGGTGAGCCGCGCCGCACCAACTCTTCTCTCTCTCTCTATCTCTATGTGTCTCTATCGGATTCCGTCGCCTCTAGCACTGCACGCTTCGCACTGCTTCGTAAGGTAGGAGCGTCGCTGACCATCCGCAAACTGGGTGGTCAATCACTTTTGACATTCCAATTTTATATCACTAAACATTCATCACGATAAATTAAGTTCAAATATAATATTATCTAGGTTACCTAAAATACCTTTAATTTTAAAATAAAATTAAAATTTACTTCATGAACAACATCTGAGCAAGGTGAATATTTAGATTTAATCTATTCATTCAGATTTAGCTTTTCGATTATTCGCTCCTACTTTATGCCTGCATGATTTTAGGTAACTATCGTTTCATTTTCCCTTTATTCTTTATTACAATATCACTATGGACTTTCGATACACGCCTGTTAAGCAATTCGAAAGTCTAAGAGGTATATTCTTGAAATGAGCATGTGTGCATGTTTTCTTTCTGCATTTTCTCATTTTCTACGATCTCTATGGTTACTGCGCGGCATAGACTTGGCTTTGATAGTTCAAACGGGACTGCCACCAAAGGCTTTGCTAATTCCAAACAGGACCAAAATTTGAATTTATTCATAATGAATTTTTTATTTTATTTTATAATTGTTGCCCGATGAGTGTCGTGTTTGCCGATATCGTTGTGTTTGGATTGTCTTTTACGTCACTAGGGTATTTTTTATCGATGTATTTGATCGATCGGCCGGCGCGATCGTCTAGTCCCGTCGCCCTGGCTCGGTCGTCGACCAACCCGAAGCTAAGCGATTCCGTGGATGCAATTCCAGTAAAGCTGATGCTGGACGGACGCACGGCGAATAGAACCGGAAGCACGGTGACGTCTTGGATCGGCGGTATGTCCATAACTCAGGATGGAAACCTGATTGCGCCGGACAAAATTATGACCCACGTCCACCGATACTCGAGTCCGCACTACAACCCCCATCACCATTACCATCGTTGGAACCATGAGCCAGGGGGGAGCGAAGATCCCCTCTATGCCACCAAGACTGTCTACGGGCCCGGATACATTGATGAGAATCGTACGTATAATTTATAAGTAAAGGACGTTGACTAATCTCTTGAATTCGGTACGAAACTCAAAACGAATCAATTAGAATCTATATGTTGGTTCATTAAAGCGCTCAATTAAATCATAATCTTAAGTCTTTCTACCTTTATTTATAATTTTAAATTACATAATGTGTAACATCTTTCTTACGATCTAAGAGACGTTAGTGTTTGAAAATATCTTGAAAATAAACGTTCTCAATCTAAGAAATTAGTTAACGTCACCAAACAATGACGTCAAACCACTAAAAACAGACAGTACAACCATAGATATCGTATTTACACTCACTTTGAGCTTACGACTGTATTATGTACTGTACCAAAACTCGTTTGAATTCACGAGTGGTTTTAATTTAGCACCTGATTGATTGAAGTGCTCAACCCCCTTTTATTTAAATCCCAGTAAGGAGCACTTAGAGTTAGATTCCACTTCGATGATAGGAAAATGATTACAGCGTATTACTTAACGCCCGCGAAGTCATGTTTGTGTAGCCCAAAAGACTTAGAAGGGAACCTATAGATCAGACGCTTTAGTATCCTCGAGATTTGCTTCTTCCCTTGTGGTTCACAGTAAAATCTTAGAAGATTTAGCTGTAAAGAAATTACTTTAGTAAATGCTTAAACACAGAGAAAACGGTGCTTCTGCCATTTTTTATTTGAATTTCTATATTTCGATGTAATGAGTAACGATAAACGAGGTTGTTTAATTGAATCCAACGCAACATTATTTCGATTTGAATTTGCGTGGTTCGATTAAATAATTTCCAACATTTTTTTTATATAAAACTGATAAAGTTGAAAGTTGAAGCATGATTGAGTATCGAATATCGCTTAGTATTATTTCAAAATTCATCTTATTTATCATAAATAGAACATTGGCAAATTCATTGTGTTTATCACAGAACGCAACTTTTCCAAGATTTTCCTCACATGTGTCATATTTATCAACTTAACCACTTATTTGTAAATTATATTTGTCTTGGCATGAGCATAATGTAATTATTTGTATGTATAATATCCACTTTCGAATATTATACTTAATGTAATTTGTTTCCGTAATTATTTTTGTTATTTTTTTTAATTTATTTTATCTATATAAGTATTTATTTCGATGGAATTATTTAGACAGCGTATATTGAATAATTTCTGTTCTGTAATCTGCAATTTCGAAATTAGGGAGGTCCACTTCGTTAAAAAGAAAAGAAAACGATATTGTCGGCATAGCTTAAACGTAAAACGGTTCGATTATTATAACGTACACGGTTATTAATATAATTGATGTGTGCTAGATGTATAATCTTTGAAATTTTATTGCAGGCTATTTGTGAATGCTATTTACGTGTCCATTTATTTCTCACTGTGAGCCCTGAAAGATTTAGGTGTATCAACTTCTAATGTCAACACGACAATTACCGTTACTCAAATGGTTTGTTGTTCACGTTTTAAGAATACAAACCATACGTTATAAATATCTGAATAATATTATCGTTCACACTTTTGACACTAATGAAACTAACACTTAACAAAACCTACAGAGAAGATTGGCAAAGAGAACGGTAGATCTGATGATGAGAAGGTGGCACTGCAGTCCACTTGCCACGTAGCTCTCGACTCGTGCATCAAAGATGGCGAATGCATGACGTCACTGACGCCGGTCTTGCAGAAGTGTCACGCTATGGAGTGTGACAGAGAGGGATGTATGTCGGCTCTACGCGGTTTCTATAGGAAGCCTGGCGTGCACTGGAATACAGAGATCGCCTTCTGCCTTTGCAAGTAAGTATTCTTTCAACACCGCATGCTTATTTAAGCAAAATATTATAAGACAATATTATAAGAAAAATTTTGAGTGGAACAAAACTATACTATACTTAATACACTTAAAAGTTACGCAAAGACATTTTTTTAACTTTCACATTATTCTTGAGGTTTTGCATCCTTAATCAGCTTAGTGATCAAAACATTTAAAATAAATCATGTTTTATACCCGTTAAAAATGGTGTGCGTAAAATCATAAGAAATAAGTTGCTACGAAACTCTTATGGAGCTAAAGAAATATTAATGCTCGAATTCATCTGTCTTTACCATTCTAGTGAAAAACTAAGTGAAAATGAACATGAATCTAATCTAAAGCCCCATAAATTAACTCGTATTTCATTACGATGAACAGACTCATCAATGCCACATTCAAGTAAAATTATCCGAACCTCAAAATACGGGCTTAAATTTTATGCGACATCTTTTTAGCTTTTTGTCGGTTTGAATTAAATCACCACTTTTGAGAGATATCCCCCACCTCGCAGACACTATTCTATAGTATTGCAATATTGACATAGGTCTTAAATTTTTGTAAAGCCATGTTTTCAGCTCGAATTTAGACATCACTTTTGGGAAGTATCCCCAACCTTTCAGAACACAGCCAAGTGATACTATTCTGTATTGTAATCTTGGTGCATTGGATAACTTAATAGATCTGACGAAAGGGAGACTAACTGTTGCGACATATATTTTTGCCGATCCCGTCTAACTTCAAAAGCCGACCTCTACTCAAAGTTATAAGGTGGTGTGTACTTTGCCGGGATTTAAAGAAATATTTCTCGAAACTCATCCAACACACCAACTTTTAGGTTAGGGAATACTTTGCGAGTAAATACGAGTCAACGACCAAGAGTTGATCGTGTTTTGTTTCTGTTGCAGGAAAACCGACAACCGCGAGGACTCGTGCATGAACGCTCAGGAACGGCTGCACCCGTCGTGTGCCCAGCGCCCACCCGCCGGCTCCGCCCTCCCGGCCTGCCATACCCTGGCCCACGCCTGTCGCGAAGACGCTGAGTGCAGGTCAGTCATCATCATCAACCTACTGATATTCCCACTACTGGGGAACAGGTCTTATTTACTGTTAGTTTGCTGGATGTCAAGGATATGACTGATGAATAACCTGTCATCTAAAGGAGTGAATGATGACTTTTTAGTCGCCATCCGTTATTATCATTCATGACTGATGGTATTGAGTTACGGCTGCGTGGGCATCTAATGGACGTCTATGGATCGAATTGGCTGACAGTAAAACTAAAATGACAATATTCTCGAGACACGAATGAGTTTTTCACAGTATTAATATTAACTTCTAGTATTGTTTTTTGGTACCACTGAGCTAAATTTTTCAGAACTACCTGTGTTTAACTTGACTTATTTTAAGCTTTTCTGTGCATCAAAAGTTATATAGTATAGACCCACCAGGTGCTATTTTTATAAAATAAGTTAGAAGCAGGCCTCTCAGACTCAATTGGCACTTAGTGGGTCTTCTATTTACAAACAAACCAAAGGACAATGTTAAAATTGGCCTAAGAACCAACACCAATTTGGCATTTATGATAATTCTTAATATATTTTTTGCGATAATTATCAGTATTTAGATTGTGACGGACACTTCCAGTTAAGTAAGCTAAATTAAAAAGTTAAAAATAATCTGAGACAATAAATACCATTTTATGTGTATAATCTATGGCAGCGCTGCAAACAAAACACTTCTTTCTAATGCCGGCACTTCACTTGGCTATTCGTATTTGCTATTTTAAAACATGACATCAGTCTGTCCTTTTCATTGCTTATTAAGCATGACAAGGACAAACTGTTGTCAAGTGAAGGGCCGGCATAAAACTCGTTACTCTGTGGTTGTGGTGCACGCAGTTTGCATTCGTAGTAATCTGTGGCATTCCTGCATTCCAAAGAGTAGTATAATATACCGGAAAGTGCATTCTCGTTTCGGATTACCTGTTGTGTGTGTTTATTTGCGATTGCTTTTTCTTTAATTTAATTATTTCGGCTATCTAATATGCCATCGATGTTACCAAAGAGAAGAGCCCTTATTACCAAGTGCTAGTGAACCTGAGCCAAAACATCCTGAGAGGATCATACTGCCAAATTATTCAAGAACACCTGATACACATTCACGCTGCATATTTACACAATATACATGTGATATACAAATAAATAAAATATACAATATGATAAAATTATGTGAATAATAGTCAATAAATAAGAAGCAAAACTACAGTTTTTATTTTATTCATGATTCCTATTCCTAACCAAGTTTTTCCTAATAGTTATTCTTTAAAATCGCACCGAATAAAATGAATTAGTTGTAATATTAATTCACTTCATACTAAGTTCATAGGTTGACCCACGGAGGTTGACCTATGTTTCATTGAATATTAAATATAACCTCAAATTTTTTTTAGTTTTCCTAATAATTTAAGTTCTCAGAAGTGTCCGTCAATAATCTTTGTTTTTACAATCATTTACTTACGATTTTGAACCTAGAAAATAATATTTCATGATTGTTGGTTCTTAGGCTAACTATGTATGGACGCTGAACAATGTCCTTTGAATACCGATATAATAACTAAAAATAGCTTATCTGACATCTACTATGTAATCACCTACGTACATATCCATGTAAAGTGTGCTTAGGTGGAATTGAGATATTTCTGAAAATATTTTAAACTTGTAAATCAATCAAAGTTAAGCAAATCGGTCATAGAAATTAATAGTAGTATGATGACCGTATCAGTCGCAGCACCGATATCGAACCAATGACGCTGACTTGTTCTAAATGGAACACCATGCTTCGGGCAAACGTGTTGCAGGATGCCGACAGTTCCTGGAAGCTAGAGCTGTTCTCGAAATGTGGCTACCCATAATTCGATGAATATAATCCAAGATCGTGCTCATTGAACTATTACAGCAGTATTATTAATTATTCTGCTAACATAGGCTGTTTGTGATGATGACAATTTCCAACAATCTGGGATTAAAAATCATCGGGGAAAATGATCAGTGTTAAACAATCAGATGCGTTATTTATAGACTACTAAAGCTATTTAGTGCTTATCAAAAGCTTTGCTAATGGTAAACACTGCTTTCCATTTGATGTGTCGAGAGATGCTCCAATCTGTTTAGCCTAATGTTTGTCACATATGGTTGTCAATTCTAGGAGATTTACTGAGTATATACAAATTAAATATCTGAGAAGATGCAATTTTTTTCAAACGTTATAAATGGCCTATATTTTAACGTCATCATCAGCCTGTTTATGTCCCCACTACTAGGGCACAGGCCTTCCCTATGGATGAAATAAGGAGATTGGCCCACCACGCGGGCCCAGTGCGGATTGGCGGGTGCTAACAACTGCAATTGCAGGCGGGACCGACGGCTTAACATGCCTTCCGAAGCATGGAGGAATTCGAGATAGAAGTTTTTTGGTCACCCATCCAATGACCGACCTCTGCAAAAGTTGCTTAACACTAACCACCCGCGCCATCGAGCTCCTCCTATATTTTAACGTCCCATATTAATTTCTGCTAATGATGTAAAATTAGTTACATTACATTTCATTCATTTAAGTATATTTAATAACGCTGGGACATGTGGTTTGTGGTGAATGCATGTATTTAAAACACTTAATGTTTTTGCTGCTTATTGTCGCGGAAAAGATCCCATGGGTTTCAGATAATTATGTTAAATCCGTATACGCGATGTCGCTGGAAAAGACACTATATAAAAGTGAAAATGTAAACAGTTGGTGCGTGTTACCAGTGTATTTGCTTTATAATGGTAACATTTAAGCGCGATAACATGAACGAGGCGTGACCAATTACAATGAATACAGTCTTATTATAGGGATACAGTACCGTAATGCCAGTTTTGAGGCTGATTAACGATTATTATACTGTTTAATAGGTAATTGAATATTTAAACTAGGTATTGTTTAAGTTTCTTCAGGCACCATGTTCTGTTTTACTTACAGACCAGCAGCATGTACTAAGGAAAAATATGAATGTTAGTTTTATGGATTTATTTAAAATTTATTAATTTAACAACCAGCTTTCAGTTTCTCAAAAGGACGCGTTTACAATGAAATTTTGTGTAGAGCTGTGATTTGGTAACATTGTTGTGAATGATAGATAAATGAATAATTTAATTGAAATATAAATATTGGCAACCCTAGTGATTAAGCCAGGGTACTGGGTTGCTAAGCTCTGTTGGCTCATGTTGATGCTAATTTCACAATAACATGGCGATAGATATGTTTGCTCGCTCTGTTGTATAAAATTTTTAACTTTTTATGTTGTTTAAATGTTATGATTAAGTGTGGCCGCACACGGGCCACCGACCACAACCACAAACCGCCACCACTGGCATATTTCTTGTAGTTTGCATACATTTTATATGGACTCGTCACACACGGTACGCCGGTGGCCGCCACACGCTACAAATCGTCGTTGCTCGCTTCTTGTGGCCCGCACCGGCCTCTTAATGCGACGATACAAAACGCCGCCACACGTCACTCGCGCGATTCGCCATCCTCTCTCCCTTACCTTAGTCGGCCGCTATCGCGCGCTTCAGCCACTTTAGTAGCCGCTTCTAGCTTCTCGTGGCAGCGTTTGTGGCTGTGGCGTGTGGTCCGTGTGCGACGACACTAAACATCACTTAAAGCGAAGTAATCAATAATCATTTTGTTTATGTAGTTAAAATTCTCCACTCCAACCTCAACGATGATGATAAGATGTTGCTCGGAAACAATAGTAACAATTGGTTTGTTTAGAATGTGTCCTATTGGCAAGCTTTTACAATCTTCGCCGGTAAGTTACCATCTGACACATTCGGCGTTTTTCTATCGCTCCCATTTCAGTAGCATATAACACCATAATGACTGTTAAAAATTAGTAAAACTCTTAAACCAGACAGGACCACGCGAATACAGTAAAAACATCATAAAGTGAACGCCCTTTAAACTTTCTATGAATTTTACACTAAGAAAGTCCCAACTGAGTTGCCCGAAAGGTTTCAAACTTTCACCCGAAGCAAATGGAAGCTGTAGAATTTATAATGTCCGTTAACCATCTGTTAACTAATGTTAGAAGCCCTCTCATATTATTGGTATTGGAACGGACCAATCCTATCCACTTTATAAGTGGGAAGTTTGAGGAACACTGATAAAATATTCTTCAAAGTCTTTGCAATCAAAAACTGTTATACGATTTTCATTTTACTTTGATGGTTCATCTGCTTTAGTCACTGGCCTGCTCAAACGAAGCACTTTTGCCCGCGGAGGATAATATCCTTCGTCAGCGCAACGCGGACTAAATTTCGCTGTGTGCTTTGCTGCACACAGTCCTGTGAGTTCTATTTTTAGGGGACACCCGCGTACTTTTGTTCCCTCTGGTCTCTCGGTGTCCTCGGTTGCTCGGGGGACATTATGTAAGAAGTACTTTTAATCAGTCGAATGCCATTCTTGATGTAGTAACAGATTAATTTTGGCGGACAAAAAAGTCCGCGATCTAAAGTCCCATGTCTGTGCAGGCTCTGTGTGGGATATATAGGTCGCGTTTGTAGCTCTGCTAACGCCACAGATTACAGTATTTTCGACATCGAATGCTTCTTCTTGGTGGTTTTAAAGTTCGGTGGCAAAGGAGACAGTTCAAATTTATCTGGAACTCAGACTCCATTTTATTATGACACGTAAGACGCTTAGTTGTAAATCGTTAGGCAAAAAACTAGAATTTGATCTTATCTTTGTTTTTAGGGTTTCGTAGTCCTGACAAAAAACCCTTATAGTTTCGTCATGTCCGTCTGTCCGTCCCCGGTTTTGCTTAAAGACTTTTTTTTCATCGTCTACCCCATCGTGGGATATCATTGAATCCTTCCTTTGTTGAAGATCCTTTAAAATTACTAAGGGGTTCTTAATACTATTTTTCGATTTAGAGATCCGTTTGCGAAATATTGAACTTTAAAGTGCAAATTTTTATTCGAGTGGAGTAGTAGTCTGTTTCCTGATATAGAAAATAAAGAGTCCTGCTCAAATATATTGTAGTAACTACAGGCAACTACGGAACCCTACACTGCGCGTGGCACGACACGAACTTGGCCGGTTATTTTTAATAATTTATAAAATATAATAGTATTAATTATTTATTGGCAAATGGCAAGTTTATTTATCTATTTTTTGTTACCAAAACCCAAATATATTCTATTCAATAGGTAACTAAAACACTGATAATGATTCTGTTTATCTTTAATTATATTTAATGTGTGGGTATTTTATTTCAAGAAGAATCAGTCATAAATTGGTGTATGATAAGTTCAACACGATTTTACGAATATCATGCATGACTTGACTTATTAACATTTGCCATAGTGATTGAGTAGACGTTATAAGCTGCCACACTCATGACTTTAAAAAAAATACTGTAAAAAATGCAAACATTGGAAGGTAAGGATTGTTGATAAAAACCAAGCCTGTATGAATAAATAACTTAGGCACCTAAATTCTTTCTCTTAGGTTCTCTTAGGTTTCGAAAAATAAATAATAGCTTAATAAAAGAAATAAAAGGGTTAAATGAATTAAAAAAATAACCGAGTTCAGGATCGAATCACCGATCACTTTGTGTCGACCCCAAGACGTTGCCATTCGGCTATCCGTCTCTTGCAGAGCGTTACAAAATTAAGGATATCTTGTTTTAAATACAAAACAACGGTGCTAAAGAAGTTTTCACTTTAAAATCATTTACAGAAACTGTCTGATCTATTAATTGATGTTTATTTTTCTTCTTAGCAAAGTCAAAAACCTGGAGGCTTCGGCGCTCCTAGGTTTGACTAGTCAATCCTCAGGTCTGACTTGAAGCCTTAGTCAAAGTCCAAACTTTTCGGCCTCTGACTAAAGAATTTTCGTCAAACCTAGTAGACAGTAATTTTGTTAGGCAAAAGTCGAAACTCAATTTAATGAAGTCCTAGACCACAGACCGACCTCGACTACCTTCTACTACTATCCAAATTCAAAATTGAATATTATAATATATTATTATTACAATATAGTATAGTTTATGCTTTTACAAATACTCATTAATGTCTACATACTACGCCAGAACAGGCAAGAAACTCAGCAAGGGCTGATATTTTCTCCCTGACAAAATGACTTTAATAGGAAAGGATTCTGGATGAACTCGATGGCGCAAGTGATTAGCGCTTTCGTCCTGAGATCGGGAAAGTCAAGCAACTTTCGCAATAGTCGGTCATTGGATGGGTGACCAAAAACATGTTATGTTAAGCTCCTCCGTGCTTTGGAAGGCACGTTAAGCCGTTGACTCCGGCTGCATCTGCACTCGTTATCACCCAGCTTAATAACCGCAAGGCGGATCATGGTCGGCCCAGTCTTCCTATTCCTTCCACAGGGGAGGCCTGTGCCCCTGCAGTGGGATGATAAGAGAATTCACGAATACACCTTTCAATATTGAACTTTTAGTCAATCAAAATTAATATAATACAATATTCATCCCTTGCTAGAATAGTCGAAAATAAGGGCAGAATATGAGATGTGGATTATTTACTGCATATGTTTGTTGCATTCTAGGCAATGTCAACCGGACTGGAATTAGATTTATACTAGAAAACTGTTGCAACTGAATACTCTGCGACAGTAAGCACAACACACGTTTAGGAAGAAATTCCAATACGTAGAGTAGAAGACTGACAAATAGATGTAACCCATCGAATTTCTAAGCTAGCAGAGAATATGAGAAATCTCGCCGACGAATAATTCAACATCCGTTTACGTAATCCATGTCATAGTACAGTAATGAACAGTATTAAATTTCTGAAGATAAGATAACATGGATTATATGATATAAAAAATATACTTTATTTGACATAAGTAGACTGGTAAAGATTTCAATGCAACTATATCATTGTATAAAAAAACTTTTCTGTTTAGGGTTCCGTACCTCAAAAAGAAAGAACGGAACACTTCCAGGATCACTTTGTTGTCCCTTTGTCCGTCCGTATGTCTGTCTGTCAAGACCCTGTATCTCGAGAACGCGTAGAGGTATCGGAGTACGGAAGTCTGCGGTCCTTTGAAACTGTGAAAAAATCAAACCACTTGTTATGTTACAACGAAATCAAAAAAATAATTAACCCAAAAGAATATAATCCAAATTCCATATCTGAGTTACTTATCGTGTCGTACTAATGCAATCATTAATGAAACCAGTATCAACTAAAAGATTTTACAAATAGCTCGCTACAAGTTGCACCACAAAAAAAAAAGATGCACCGTGATTCTGCCACCAAAAAAATATGTTTTCTTTAGCTTTGATTTTCTTTAACTTTTTATGGGCAATATGGTCGTCGCCCCAAAATATAAAAAGGATGCCGTCGAATGAATTAGGTCGCTAGCGCACAACCAATTTTTATTTTTGGTTCCAATTTTTAACGAATTAATACCAAAGTAAATTCATTGTAATGGTTTTAACTATAAAAGCACTAAGTGAGTCTTGCTTCATTGCCTCGGAAAATATTTCAATATTTTATAATGAAATGACTCTACATTATTACGGAATAATTCGGTAGAGCTTAGTATACACGCACACGCTTGAGCACATCAAAGAAGTCCTACTGACTCGCAACTTTTAGTTATCACCAAGGCAAGAAAACCCGAGCGAACTCCTTCGTATTTGCTTCCAAGATATTATATTTGTATAAACTTTTTACGAGCAGGATTTCAGGGTTATTACTACCATATAGATAGAAAAAATTCGTTGAGGCTTTCAGGACACATTTGTTCGACAGAGGGGATCTCCGGCCTATTGTTACGTGGTATTTATTATTTATAAGGACGTAAATATATCGTGTTTGGAATGGTTATAGCCGGTCAGACAATTTTCGCGGGCAGAATGAAAATTGTGCAGGAAATTGGTCTATTAGTTGGACTCTCCAGCTCTAGATACACTAGTCATTTGATTTTTTTATCTCAATATTGTTATGATGGTAATGGTAATGGAATGCCAAACCAATCGGCACATTCGATGAGGTTTATCAGAATTCAAACAAAATCAACGGACGATTTGAAGCCAGTTTTCTATTGCTATTTTGTACTATTGAGGGGCTGTAGATAAATGCAGTGAAATGTAGGGTAGGCAACGGCGCAAGTGGTTTTTTATATCGCAAGCGTCTATAGGCCATATGCTTGAATGCCACCCTTATAACATAAAAAAATACTTTTGTGGTTTGTAGATTACTAGCGAAGACGCCCCGCGGCGTTGCACGGGAGAAATTTATTTTAACACGATTGAGAAGGGTCCTATGGGGATTTTAAATGATGTGTACTCTAAACATTTGTGGAAACTGGTATATTTATAACAAAACAGATTGAAATGAAGTGAAAAATGAAATGAAAAAACCTTTATTGGCCATCTTACATAAAAAATACTATAAATTTAAAGAATAAATAAAAGAGGAACTTAACCTAAAAACAAAAAATATCAACATAAAACTAAGACGGCCAATCAGGACCCTGCCTCAGCTTATGCTGACACAGTGGGAGAATACTCTCACACTGCATCAGCGCTGGTATTCTGGCAGGGCCTGTGCGAGGACGTCTTAGGCGCTAACAAGCAACAAAAACAATACATTTGTAACAATACATACAACAATGCTTAACTAATCCTAATTGTATTGCGCATACATACATACATACATATAAATACATGATATAAATATATATATATATATATACACTTTAAATACATAAAATGAGAATCCTAAATAAAGAAACACAGCGCAGCACTCCGACGCACCCGCACCGCATCCGATAATGGTGTCGATTCTGTCATGACTCTCCAAACCCAAGACCCAACCCAACAACAGTCCCCCCCTATCATTTTATATAGAGAATGACAAGGATACACTGCCGTCAAATTCATATTCAGGCTCAGAGAATCATTTCAGAATCGACACCAATGTCAAGATACGTAATACCTTAAATACTACGTACGAGTACGAGTAGTCTGTGCAATATGATACTTAATCTATGCATTATGATTATTATACTGCAATCTGTGGCAAGATTATTTAACATTGACGTGGTGTTATATTATGAACGCGGTTGGGCCCCGTGCGAAGCTGTGCGTGGAGCGTAAGAAAGTGTGTGTCGCCACGGCCGCTCGTCCCCGCGGTCGTGGTCCCTCCTCCCACACGTCTCCTCCCGTGCGTAAGACTGGTCGGCGACACGATAAAATAGCCTTTGTTTTTTCCGTTAATTGTTTACCTTCTTATCCAGGATGCGTTTGGAGAACTACGAGCAATGGTGCGCCGTTGACGCTGTGACTCAAGGCTGCGCAGGATCGCCGGCGGCCTGCCGCGCTGCCGTAGTCGCCGTGCTTGGAACTCAGCTCAGAGCGGCCTGCGCCTGCCGCGGGACCGACTTCGCGCAGCTGTATGACTGCCTCGGCTGGCAACGGCTGCTGTGGCTGAATCCTTGCGTTGGTAAGTCGTCTGCTGATATCGTCTTAGAATACAGGAATCCGTCTGGAGAACTACGAGCAATAGTGCGCCATGGATGACTTAAGGTTGTGCTGGATCGCCGGCCGCCTGCCTCGCAGCCGTAGTCGCCGTGCTTGGGACACAGCTGATAGCAGCCTGCGCTGCCTTGCGTTAGTTGTAAGTTAGTATTTATATGTTGTCCGCTCATATAGCCCTGGCATACAGGAGTGCCGAAGAACATTGTAGAACTTGCGGGATTCAGGAATGTGACAGAACTTCGGGTGTTTACCCTTAGATAACAAGAAGAGTACAGTAACATTACAGTGACTATTGGTAGTGATGTTGTTAGTGAGTAGAGGGGGTAAAGGATTCCGCTTGCCGCGGGACCGGCGTCACGCAGCTATACGACTGCTTTGAATAATGCTGATAAAATTTGTGATGTTATGTATCCTTTGAAGCGAAGGAACTCTTAAAAACCATATTAGCAATTACATATCAATCGTCATCTTATGTTCCAGTGGAATCTCAAAGCGACTACCACGTGAAGACCTACGGCTCGCTATTGACCACAACCTCAGTGGAGGCTATAAACTACATGACCGTCCCACCAGAGCCGGCGATCGTGCACCGCACCACTACCCACCATAATAGGCATACCACCCACCGTGTGAAAGCTGATCTTGAGGTAAATCATAAAATTAGTAGACAGAACTACACTTTTTTTCGTTGTGGACTTACCAAGTAACGCACGCATTTGAGTTAGGAAAACCAGAAAGAACGTAAGTACCATTATAAGCACTTTCCTAGAGTTGGTAAGGTGAAGATGGTCAGTAAAGAATCTAAAATAGATGTAGGAGTGAAATTGTGTTTTGAACCAAAGGCTCGGAAGACAGACTTGTTGCCTTCGTTCTGGGAAATTTGCTTTATTACTAAGTAAATTAAGTTGTACATGTTCTCTAAAAAATATATACAAATGTGTGATTGTATCAAACTTTTAATGTTCAGCACTTTAAAAAAAATTAATATAACTTTATTTTATGTATAAAAACTTTTCCTTCTCTTTCAATAAATCAATTTATACATTATATAACATTTTAGTCAATCATCGGTTGTAGCAATTTTCGCTACCACCGGCTACTCAGGGCTTCGCATGAGACTCAAAAAATTATTTATCTTGCCAGGGCGCCTTCTCCTGTATTATGTGGGAGATTAAAGAAAAATGTATGAGAGCAGTAAACAAGATCCTTTTATTTAAATACTAAAATTAAATTACTATTCAGGTGAAATTTTCATCATACAGTGACACACTTTTTACTACTAACAAATATCTTTGAATATAGCTTTTATAAATTCAAGTATTAAGATTAAGTGACGAACATACAGTCAATAACAGGTGTACATACAGATATATTTATGTTAGTATTCTAAAGAAACAATTTGTTTTAGCAAATATCAAACAATATGAAATGAAATTAAAGATATTCTTTTAATGAATTTACAGTTTACTATTATAAATCCTTTATTAAGTTCTAATAATCAGACATTTTGTACTTCGGAGAATGCACTGGTTAAATATTAAGAAAATACAGATATTACTTAGCTTAAAGACTTCGGGAACATCGAGTAGCTTTCAAATGTCGTTAAATTTTTTAAGAAGAATATGCTGTCATCAGTCACACTCTTATAGGTTGCAGACTACAGTTTACAGGCTCATTTTACCAAACGTATTCCTTTCAATATTTCCAGGGAAATTCCGAGCAGTTCGAAACTATGAGTTTCTGTCTAGATATTATACTAGCTTCCTCAAACGACCTAGAAATAATAACACACACTTCCTAGAGTACCAGTAAATGCCTATATATTGATCTACATCCTATCGAATTAAATATATGGAACTTACCCGTTAATCCGGGGAGAAATAACAAATTAACACGAGTATGTGTTCTTTTTAAAGTTCTTAGCGCACTGACCACAGCTTTCTCAAAGGTCACGTCGCAACTACCTTGATGTACCAAAATTCAATAGCTAAAGAGGCCTAATGCTGCTGCGCAAAGCTATTTATAGTGCCGATTGTTACATAGATATTGACAGAAGATTTCGATTCTCTCACCATATAAGGAGCGAATTGCACTGGGAACTGGTTAAACAAACCACACCCCTTGCAATTCCTTCCAGAACATTAATATGACGTCACACCCGATCTTATAACTATTCAAAAAAAAATTCATCAAACCATCTATCATACATTCCAAAAGCATCTGTCAGGTTCACTTGACAAGTACATAACTTGCTTTTACTTAAAGCACTTCTACATTCGATGATTTATGTGAGTGACGATAGATGGCGCTATATTAAGAAATGAATATTATTAGTTAAAATTATTTATAAAAATATGATGTTACACGGTCTGCAATTTGCTGTCTGTTTCGCATATGGAGATATCTATTATAACCATTAATCATTATTAATTTCAGGATAACCGCGAACCTCCTAGTCCCAACACGACCCAATCAGAGCAAACGGCCGTACCCAAAATCGAGCAGATATCCGAGCCAGTGATGGTGACAACCGCGCGTACTACAACCGTAGCTGAAACGACGACTACGACCGCTACGACGACGACTACGACCACAACCACAACTACGACGACTACGCCGCGGCCTACTACCACCTTGGAGCCAGCCAAGTATTGTATAGTGAAGAAACCGGAGAGCGATGACCAGGCGCAGTATATTAAGATGGGGGAAACTAGACGAGTCAGTTTTTTGTGTTTTCTCTAGTAGATGTTAATTATGATACAAAGGAAGGATTAATTTCTCTAATAAGTTTATTTACTGCAGAAACACAACATATGTGTATATATGAATAGAATGGATAATTTACATATTTATTCAAAAACTCTAAAACACATAAAATTTCAAGTGTTTTGTGTAAGTTATGAACATTAGCTGAACCGATAATATTTTTTCGTTTACTATTAATATATCCGCGCCCCAGCAGCCTCGGTGTCCCAGTGGCATTATGCTGACGCTGGGACCTAGTTTTTTTCTTTTTTTGTTTATTTATGTTCTATATAATATTCGTATGTTAACGTAACTGTCTCTTATTCTAAAGTTTAGTTAAATTATTAATCGTTTTTAACTGTAATGTTCTTCGGTGCAGTTGTACCGGTCAGCGGAACTCGCCGAGTGCACGGACCTGTGCGTGTGCGAGCCCTCACTACAAGTGTCGTGCAAAGTCGCGTGCGTGCCCCGCGCGCCCTGCTCCTCGCGCCTCGCGCACTACTCCCACGCGGCGCCCGCCTACCAGGCCTACCGCGGCCGCTGCTACTGCTACTCCGGCTCCTTCATCTGCATGCGGCCCGACCCCGGCAAGTATCCCTCGCAGCCCTCACTGCAAGTGTCGTGCAGCCCCGCGCGCCCTGCTCCTCGCGCCTCGCGCACTACTCCCACGCGGCGCCCGCCTACCAGGCCTACCGCGGCCGCTGCTACTGCTACTCCGGCTCCTTCATCTGCATGCGGCCCGACCCCGGCAAGTATCCCTCGCAGCCCTCACTGCAAGTGTCGTGCAGCCCCGCGCGCCCTGCTCCTCGCGCCTCGCGCACTACTCCCACGCGGCGCCCGCCTACCAGGCCTACCGCGGCCGCTGCTACTGCTACTCCGGCTCCTTCATCTGCATGCGGCCCGACCCCGGCAAGTATCCCTCGCAGCCCTCACTGCAAGTGTCGTGCAGCCCCGCGCGCCCTGCTCCTCGCGCCTCGCGCACTACTCCCACGCGGCGCCCGCCTACCAGGCCTACCGCGGCCGCTGCTACTGCTACTCCGGCTCCTTCATCTGCATGCGGCCCGACCCCGGCAAGTATCCCTCGCAGCCCTCGCTGCAAGTGTCGTGCAGCCCCGCGCGCCCTGCTCCTCGCGCCTCGCGCACTACTCCTACGCGGCGCCCGCCTACCAGGCCTACCGCGGCCAGTGCTATAGTTACTCTGGCTCCTTTATCTGCTTGCGACCCGACCCCGGCAAGTGTCCCTCACAGGTGGACGACACGAGACACAGCTCATTTCACCTCAAGACAAATTTTTAAATAAACTCAAAAACATTTGAACCGATTTCAAAAATTCTTCTTCCATTACAAAGTGCGTTATTTAGTAACAAACAATAAATAAATAAATTCTAACTTATGTTCTCTCTCTTCGGCCCTCTCTTCGCTTGTTCAGGAGTACAAAGCCGAAGCCGACCGCTGACGCTAGCGTGGAAATAAAAAGAGACACCATAGTTTTAGAGCTTTTAATAAAGCAAATACACATTATTAGTACCTTTAGTGTTAAAAAATTGTTCACTATTCAATCGAAGGATATTTTCTATCAGTAAGTACTTACTAACAAAATGCCACGTAATATTTAAAACAATATTTCGCATAAAATCGGACTGAGATATCCTTATATTTCCTACCTTATCTGAATAAGGTGATTTTCCGAGCTAGTTGACCACAGAAACATTATGTTTGTACGATATAACGTTTTTTTTATATTAATAGGGTGACAAATAAGCTTATTGCTTGCCTGATTGTAAGTGGCCACCATAGCTTGCGATACAAAAAACAACACTCGTTTTTATCTGTGTTCTTCTGTAAGGTGGAAATTACTTCCCAAGACGGGCGCTCTAATTCTAGCGGAATCTGCTATGCCCTACCTCTCTAATGTTGTAACATTAATTGCAATTTAACTATATTCAGGTGAATACAAGCTTCCTGAAGGTGTATACCTCTTGCTGGGCTTCAGTGCTGTGGATGAAGCTCTGCTACGTCCCCACACCGGCCTTGGAGCTGAAGATGCTGTCCGTCTACTGCAGCAGTACTTAAACTCAGTTCACGACGAAGGGGTAAGTCTTACTTACCCCTTAGTAACTTTTAGGGTATTAAACATATAATTATACACAGTCATCATCATAATCAGCCGTTGGATATCCACTGCTGGTCATAGGCCTCCTCTAGGGATCTCCAAACAAAGATCCTGAGCTTTCCGCATCCAATGAGTCCCCCGACTCGCTTTATGTTGTCAGTCCACCTGGTAAGGTGTCTACCGACACTGCGTTTCCCGGTGCGAGGTCGCCATTAAGGCACCTTGGGACCCCAACGTCCATCGGTTCGCCGAACAATGTGCCCCGCCCATTGCCACTTCAGCATGGCGATCTGTTTAGCTATGTCGGTTACTCGAGCTTCTACGGATTTACTTATTTCTGATTCGATCACATAGAGAAACATTGAGCATAGCTCTCTCCATCGCTCGCTGTGCGACTCCGAGCCTTCTTATGAGGCCCATTGTCAACGACCACGTCTCAGCTCCATATGTCATCACTGGCAACATGTACTGTTTGAAGACCTTGGTCTTCACGTACTGAGGTATTTCGGACGTGAAAGTATCGCGAAATTTGCTGAATGCTGCCCAGCAGAGGTAGATTCGGCGGTTTACGTCTTTCTCGAAATTGGACTTACCCAAGCTGACTACTTATCCTAGATATATATATACACATATTTGTCGACAATTTCGAATGCAGAGTTCTCAACGATTACTAGTTGGAGCGGAACGTGAGCGTTAGACATGATTTTCGTCTTACTCATGTTCATTTTAAGGCACATCTGTTAAGAGTATCGGCTGAGGTCATTGAGCATTGTATTGAGGTCCTCCAAAGTGTCTGCCATAACTACCATATCATCGGCAAATCGAAGGTGAGTAATGTACTCGCCGTTGATATTGATGCCAAGTCCGCTCCAATCCTGAAGCTTAAATACGTCTTTCAATACAACGGTAAATAGCTTTGGGGAGATTACATCTCCCTGTCGCACTCTTCGCTGTAGTTGGATAGGTCTCGTAGTCTCGTCTTGTATGCGGACTATCGTGGTGGCGCGTTCGTACAAACTCTTCAGCACTTGGATATAGCGATAGTCGATACGGCACCTCTACAAAGATACACTATAGAGCCCTTGTCTCTACCGAATCAAAGGCTTTCTCATAGTCCAGAAACGCTAAGCATAGTGGTAGGTTATATTCCTCGGTCTTCTGAAACCTTTACGGAATCCGGCTTGTTCAGGAGGCTGGAAGTCGTCTAAAGATTGTGAAGTGAGCATGGGAGGGGCGATGAGGGTGTGCTGAATCCAAAAATGACTCTCATTATTTCATAGAACGTAACGTTTTCTGACTATGTAGTAATCTACATATTATGTTAAACAAGTTATCGTCTTAAAATAAAAGATAGAAATCTTTTTTTTTATTTTATTAAAATTGCGTAACCAAACTTATTTCTTTAATTTAAATACATTCATTGGTAAGTATTTAACACATTTCTTCTTCTCAGTGAAACTGTTTTTGGTACATTTTCGCTTGTAAAAAGCATCTGGAAGGTCTCTCTGAAGCGTCCAACATTAATCTGCTATCATTGAGACGCTCCATCTAACCTGGTATATATCCTTTTAATATCTAGGTGTAATCGTACACCTCGGCTCTTCACTCACATTTTAATTTTCTAGAAAGTAGTCGAGGTGGGAATCTGCTTCTTTTTTAATAATAAGTCAACCTAAAGCTTGTTAATGATTTGTTTGTAGTTGGGGTCTTTGTTATTGCCTGAAAAATTATCTATGACCTCTTTAAAGGCGATCCACCCCTCTCTTTGAGGATTTGTCATGGTGGTGATGGATTATGGATCAGCCATAAGCTATCTAATATCTTGTCCAACGAAAACACCTTCATTAAACTTTGCCTCCGAGAGTCCTGGCAACTTTAATGTTAAGTATATGTATATCATATATAACAGAAACTGTATGACAAATTCACACACTGGGTTAAAGCTAGTTTTAGTTAAATGGAAATTCAACAAATTTGCTACGAGTGGACTGAATGATTATATTTTTAGTAAGTAGTAGTGTAATTTACTGACAGTATTCCACTAAACTAATTAAGTACAACGGCTTCAGATTCGAGGTTGCTCAGACCACTCTGAATAATCCCTATATCCGACATAATTATTTGAAACTTAATGTTTACCAACGTTCGTTAAACCGATTTTTAACAGCTTATATATGCTCCTGTACTACCGGGTCTAACACATATTTGTTAAGAAAAACGGTACAGATTGTGAAAGAACTGACAATGCCGAAACGTGTTGATAGCATAACAAGTGAAGACTTTGGATTTAAAAGAAAAAAATGTTCCTGAACCAAAATTACATTTTCATTTCACCGAATAATACCTATATTTATATTTTTTTTCCAGACTAACTGCACCCTGAGCCTCTTTAACATCAGCAATGAGAACGTGATAATATCCGCCAGCGTGCCGCAACGGGAGCAAGAGATACTCAGGGAGGCTGGAGAGGCTTTGTTGGATCGTGAAAAGGTAAAAATGATTATTATGTAATTTGTACAGTAAATCTTAAACCAAGAGAGAGATAAACAAAAAAAAATGTACCTACACGAAAACATATTCTGGTTAATAAATGAAATTGAATAAAAAAATATAATAAGCCATTGCAATTATTCCTAATTTGATGTAATTTAAACACCGTAGACACTTTTACAAAGTAATTTGGGATAGACTGGAAAAAACAAAGCCAAGTGTCCATAGTAACTTTGGCTTAATATAAAATGTTCACAGAACATTAAAAATTCTTAAACAACTTTACACAAAAAATACCTCGATAATACAAATATGGAATTTTGAGGTTATTTCGATTTGACTATCACCGTGGCGGAGTGACTTCCACACCGATTCTTATGGTGTCGCCATATCTGGGTTCTCAGGTTCGCTACTCTGTCTCATTTATCCAGAAAAATAACTGTTTTACATTGTCTCGGCTCTGTGTTTGAGGTACCTTTATTATTATTATTGTTGGTAGACTAATACTATTTTATATGCGCATTGTGGTAGACCCGTAGGACGGTCGTCTGGGTTGGTAATTACAATGCAAAAAACGACTGATTCAAATTCACTATTGCTGTATTCTTTTTATCACATCAGTTATCAATGCCAGTGCGTCGTCTCGGAACTCCTTGTCTCTTTCTTTTTATTGCAATAAATCAGGGAGAAACAAAATAGCAACTCAATTTATTTTTGTTAGATTTCCGGTCAGCTATTTGTTTATCTATATATATTATTATAATAAATTCTATTGGAGAAGTTCTCAAAGAAAGATAAATGTAATTTTTTAAACATTCGAATTATTTATGATTTTTGTTGTATGTAAAAGATATGTGTCCGTGCCATTTTATAATAAAAGTTTTGTAAGCCAAAATCTGACATTGTTCTATATACACATAAATACAATTTTTCTACAACATCAACAATATTTGTTTCCAGGAGGAATGCATCGACGTCCTCAAAGTGGTCAAGTCCCGTATCAACTCGCAGCACGAGGACATATCTTCTCATCTCCTTCTCTCCATCTTCAAAATCGCTGAAGTTGACGTAGTCTACCCAGCACCACCCAGCTCCGCCATCACCGCCCACCAACCCTTAAAGATTCTCTATATCATCATTACTCTCCTCACCGTCTTCTACAACCTCACCAATACCTCTATCAATAAAAGTATCGTCAATTCCATATCGAATTTATTCGATCGTAGTTTTAGCACGAAGCGTTCCATCACGTCGAGCATCGTTCCTTTCTTCGACGAGAGATATATTTTAAATGAATTTGTAACTATTTTGAACGAAGAATTTATCGACGTTGTAGACATTAAAAAGCACGACGCACTCGCTTCTGTTAGCGCACAAGACACTAAACGACTAGATATAAGCGAAATAGATGTAAATAAACATAAGGAACTTATACATATCATAAAAGCTGTGAATATTACAATATTTGATAATTTTAATGAACTCGTTGCTGATGCAATTATTATACCTAAATATTTTTCTAGAGATGTGTATTATGAAATTGGATGTACTAAATCTTGTGATTCGAAGATGCTTTTTGATTTGTGTTTTGGAAATATCGCGTCCTCTTCTTATGGGATTATAAGATCCGTTAGCTTAGGACTGACTTTAGTAGTAGAATGAAGACTGAAAGATTAACTAAACATATCATAGTTAAATGTTTTCTCGTTTTATTTCCAACTTAGAGTGGTGCTTTTAGCTCGATCTTAAAGGCTGGGTTTTGTACATAAGTGTATTACGCCTTTTACACTGTTAGATATTTGGTTTCTCGTAGTTAGTAATCTGATATCGATACAATATTGACCTCTGTTCCTGTAAACCCTTATACATTCGTTAGTTTATTAAGAAAATCTTAATTTAAGTTATCTTCCTGGTAGTATTTATTTAGTGAACGGAAATCTAATACAAATATATATTTTGCAGTTTTATTTTGTTAGTGTCAGAAGGTACTTAAAATAAACCAAATGTTTAATGTTTCTTAATAGTATTAAAAAGAGCGTTCTAATATTGTGTCTTTGACAGAACATTTATATTTATTTCTAAGGATAAATGTTATAGTAGTCTGTTGTAGGTTTCGCCTTTCTGTTAGACTATGTACGTACGAGTATTCAATGTGCTATTTCTACAAAGAAGAAATATATCTAAAAAATCTTTAACTAAGAAAATTGCGGTCAAATAATCCAATGAATAGAATGCGCGTTGAATATTTGTACGAACCGAAACTGTGTTTATTAGAATATTTGTAACCATGAATGTGAATGCACCCACTTTTGATGCAGTGGCGGACAAAAACAAAATAGTTTCCCAAATAAAATATTAGCTTACGTTAACCTTAAATCTAAAAAAAATACTAGAAAAAAATCCATATGGACCAGGCAGCAGACGGGACTCGAACCCGCACCCTCCACTATCAGGGCAGATGCATAGACCATTATACTACCGCGGCCCTAATTATCCGTGTCGAATTTTCTCTAAAATTTCCAAGGCTGCAAGGCTTATATTGAAACAACTAGCATTTAAATGCTTAAAATAAAAAGAATACCTTATCCTTGTTCAGCAATCTATATACTCGTACGATGCTCATTTATTATTAGTTTGTTTATAGAATAATCTCCATCTATTGTTTACTACCGATATATAAAAAGGTATGTATGATCTATACAGGTTAGGTAGAACAAATAAAAATAATTAAACTTAGTACAAAACAGAAAGCATTGATCATGTAAGTGAAGTATCAAAAATGCAAATGTATGAGATGGAGAAAAAATGCAACTGTCCGGAAGAGGAAAAAAGATATCACATATAAACATTTAGCAAAACTTTGATTGGGAATCCATCTTTACTGATTTTTTTTTCGGCCGCTTATCTTATTTCTAAAACGAAATGTTTTATTAGAAATGGATTCTAATTTCTAAAAAGACATTCATGTAAATCGTATACACTTAGTGAGAAAACTACATAATCCAACATTCTATCGATTCACGTCACTTATTAAATTTATTTGTCACCATGCCGACAGGATTATTGTCACGCAAGCACTGTTTAACGTGATAAAATCTTTTGATTTTCTAAGTTTACCGACAACGGAGCGGAATAATATAGTTCACCCGAATTTATTTATTTTTATTTATTTATTTATTAACATCAACAAGATTAACACCAACTCATTATAAAGTAACTTACAAACAATGTGGAAGCGAACTAAGTGCAATCTTAATTAAAGATGTTACACAATAGCACTGATGAGCAAAAATATCGCATAACAAAATCATACCAAAAATCTTCCAATGATGTGAAATAATTAGTAGTAAAATATAAAAAAAAAATATACTAAAATTAAAAACATTTTATTAAAATTATATCATTATTCAGTAAAGCGTCACAAAATATTGTAAAGTAATGGAAATTGATGTTATAATAATTAAAAACATTTACAGTCACCAGCATATACCTACGTCAAATCTAGTATTTCTTTTACATTATTTTGGAAATATTTAAGGGAATTAGAGAAAATATCGACATCAATTAATTGTGAATCATGCTCATGAGTATGCTGTGGTAATCCACATTTGATTCTACCAGAATGATTTTGAGCAATGCTTCTGTGCAATCCATTGTAAGCTATCATCAACCTATTCAGCGGTGAGTAGCGACCATGGCGCGAACGTGAGAGTCTCTCCATAAAGGAATTGTTTTAGACTTGACGTAGGTTTGGCTACTAAGACCGCAAGACACATAAGATAATATTGAATATTTCGATTAACTTATATTATCGCGATTGGTGTCGCTAGGCCACATGAAATCTATTTAGGTGGATCATATTATACATAAGCAATATCTTCATCATTACTTTTAATTCAAGGTTTTTAAAGTAAACACTTGTTTTCTTGTCCTATTATATTTCACTGACAAGTTAATTCATAGAACCTGCTTGTACATGATTTTGTCCGCCACTGCACCAGATGAAATTTATAGTTGAACACTTAGATTATAGTGATTTCTGGGACATGACACAACCTAGACGTAATTATGAAGTGTTAAAATGGTAAAGCAAGAAGCTTTAATTTGGAGTAGATATAGAATCTTGTGTTCCGAAGAGTTTTAAATACCTATTAGTGGTTTTAGACACCGCCGTATAGAATCTATGTGGAGACGAAAGTCTCATATAAACGTAAAATACTATTACTAAATTCTGTTTTTTTCTCTCAACGTTCAGCCAGTTAATGATTTTTATTATTACCATAGCTATGTTTTCTAGCTGGAATCAGCTTAGAAATGACGAAAAAGCGTGAAATTAGAAAACGACACCATTTATTTATCAATAAATGGCTGCCTGGGTTATTGTAGTAACTTATGTTTTTCACCAGATGGCGCTATGAGAATTATATAGAATTTTGTATTTTAATTCTAAAAATTAAAGTTTAAACTCGTAATTCAATGTGAATTATTGTAATAGGTTAAATTAAAGAAAATGGCTGCTATTTAAGAAATTTTGATTTCAGTAGCTACAGCTGCGGTTCTATAAAGATAAAAGACGCTATTTTTTTTTTATTAAAATAAATTATTGGTCTTACTACATAATATATTATCAATATTGTTGGGGAGAATATTATGAGCGGGATTTTGAAATTTCCGTAAAAAAACTGTTAGGTAATGCCATAAAATAATAGACTTTTTTTTACAAAATCAAATGATTTTTTAATAATTATAAATACTTTTACATTATGTTAAAGCTAGAATATGGCTACAATCTTTATTTTTAAAATTTAAGAATATAATAAAACCTACGATTATTCTAATTATTCTTATTTTGTGTACTGTTATTTTGGTATTATACTAGTAATAACATAAACTAGAAACAATGTAGGTATTTGTTACATTCTGTAAATTGTTTCTTTCTTCTATAAAATAAAACTTTGTTGTATTAAAAAGATATAATTCTGTTAAATTAATATATTCATATAAAACAACTATGTGATAGTGTAACTGTAAACATATCATTTTCAGAGTAACAGCAATTTGGCTATATGTATAAAATTAATAAGTAAATATATAAATCTGATTCAGAAAAGTATTGCACACAATTTTATTGAAACAATAATATTTTATATTAAATCACTTTAAAATATAAAAGTCCTCAACACAAACGAAAACTATTTACGTATTGTCGATATATCCGTTACTTACATCATTATACACTTTCACAAAATAATCTACTGTTTATCGTAATAAGTCAATATATAAATACAAAACTTTTAAAATAAAATTTTGTGAATGTTGTTTTCTTATTTTTAAGATTGTATCAAATCATTTATTTACACCATGTATAAACTAGCACTGAGCAATAATTTGCATAAACTTAAAAAAAATGTACACGGAGAAAATTTACTAGAAAATATTTCGCAAAGTGATTCTAACGATACATATCATTAAGGCTCAATTTTGTACCTATTATATTTCTAGCATTTAGATGTTGCAAAGCAAAAATAAATGGGCGATCTTCTTATAGTAGAATAGACTTTAGGGGGGAAAGTTAGATAATATTAAAATAAATTTACATTATAAACTAGGGGACAAATTTTGTAAATTGTTCTGTTTGATATAATCATGATTTTGAATGAATTCTTCTAATTTTTATGTTAAATTTGCTTAAAATTTATGGTACATAATTTAATTATTACGTTTTTATATTACGCTACCATCCGTTAAAAATACATAATTATTGATTCAAAAGGACGTCCTTTAAAAGAAATAAATTGAAAATAATTTGTCATATAACCGGAAATATGATCGTGCACTTGCCTTCCATGTAAATAATTTCATAGAGAAATAGTTAGTTCCATACTAAAGGGTATATGTTTAAAAACATATTTAAAGTGTGCAGAAATGTTCGTTTACTAATCTTCGTTTTATATTTGAGGAAACAAAAGTTACTTAAATCGTTATTCAAATTGAAATTAACTTTTTATTTCACAAAAGTTGAATTCACGACTTATGTCTGTTTCAAACTTGATGGATTCTTGAATGTATTAGGTATATTAAAACAAAAGCGGTTTATTTTTGTTATTAAAACTTAATATTAAAACAGAATGCCGCTTTTAATATAATAAACTAAATTGTTGTGTGTTAGTCGAAACTGTCCGAGACATCGACAGAATGATGTAGTGTCAGTGTATAGCAATACTTTAAATAGTAGATTGTAATTTTAATATCGGTTTGGAAATGTGAAAATCACACTTGTGAAACTTTGCTATTTGGGATACGAAGCAAAATATTTGCATTAGACTCTTTTTAAAAGTCATGATATCGGGTTAGGGATCAGCTTAGTCGGAAACTACCTTGACAACTGAATTCTGCTTCAAAAGATTAATGAGCGGGAAGTAGCTAAAACAAACGGAGTAAAAAGGCTTTTAAAAATAGATTTTGCCTACTGCCAGTAAGCTAGAGATCTCCGAATTAAAAACTACCCCATTTATAACCCCTAAGCTACGTGCTTTGGCCCCAAGCGGGGGAACGGGTGTGAAATCTCATTGATACCTTACGGCCGGTTGTAGGGTTATGTCAGATTTATTAACACCACGGCGAGTGTTCTGAGGAGCTATTCTCGCTTATCCCTCCATCACCTTTTCTTCAGAGGACCACGCGCGCTGGCCTACGTTGCCACCAATTTACTGTGGCCACTATTCCTACACGAACAAAGAAATTTGGTGACTCACTTCTTTGTCGTACTATTCGTAAGTGGAATTCTTTACCCGCGCACGTGTTCCCTCCTTCCTATAATCCTCCTGGGGTCTTTTAAGAGAGGCGTGAAGAAGCATTTTTGCAGGCCGGCAAAGTGAGGATGGTTGGTGTAGCAGTTTGTAACTGCTGTACCAGGTATCTTCGCGTTTGGACTTTATCACCACTTAACATCAGGTGGGGTAGAGTCATTTGCCTACCTCGCTATAAAAATAACGCAGAATAAGCTTGGATTCGTTGAACCATGTTTTGTCTCTGTTAATTGAATGACACATGGCATTTGAGTGATATGAACAAAACACGGTGTCAAAACTTAAATCTTAAGTGTACTAGTGTCACTGACGCATACTGGCGCTACGGAAGATCAGTGCTAAGGTTGCAGCGTTTACTGAGTAGCGGCCATTTTTGTTATAATAATTTTGTACGCCTATGTATTCTATAACCACTGTTATCTACTGTTGTTATAACCAATAAACTTGTTTGATTTGATTTAAAAACTTATTCCTTGTTTATTAATAAGGGGCTTTGTAACTAAAACACCCGTGGGGATGCCTTTGGCAATAATGGCTTTTCAAACTTCCTCTGGATGACCGCATATCCCCTGAGGAGGGATCCAGTCTCAATTACTCCGCGCACCTCGCTTAAATTTATTGAAAGAAATGTAATATTAACGTTTTCAATAAAAGAAAAACAATGTTCCGTTATGAGTTAACTTTGCTCAAAGAGTGGCTCACAATAAAAAAAACCTGTCCCATTGAATATTTCATATTTTTAGTACTTACATCTGATGTTTTTACACATTTTTAGTGTAGGAACTAACTACCTACAACTCTACCGAATGGTTAGATAATACCATTGGTTTCAATTTTCAATTGATCTTTTAATCCAATCGACTACTTAAAAAGTGACTTCTATCTTTTCGTACATTACCTAAATAAATGAACAAAAAAAAATTTTACCAATTTCCATGCCGATATTGAAAATTAAGTTTAATTATATAAAAGAAATTATATATTGTGAATACAGAGCACAGTAGTGATATGCGTAACTGAGCTTCTAAAAGATTAAAAATTGTTTTATACACCATTACTATGATAGCATAAATATTTATGGTATTATTTTGTTTCCAGCCTCCACTGGGGGGCTATTCATTTTGTTGTAGCTAAATAAAAGAGGTTCATACAAATATTGTTTATTTTAATCCTTTTCCTTATTAGAAGAGTCCAATGTAGTGAATATTATTCTTCCTTCCACATCGTTTTAGGGTTCCGTTCCCAAAAGGTAAAAACGGAACCGTAGTACTAAGACTTCACTGTCTGTCTGTCACCAACCTGTATCTCATGAGCCATGATAGCTACACAGTTAAAATTTTCACAGATGATGTACCTATTTCTGTTGCTATAACAAATACTAAAAACAGAGTAAATTAAATTGTTGAGGGAGTATCTATACAAAAAACGTGATTTATTGCAGTGCTTTGCTCTAAATTAGTAACAGCATCAGCTTGACGCTAAACGTTTGAAATATTCACACAATATTTAGTTGATTCAAAAATAAATAGATTTAAATAAAATAAATATTTAAGACTCCCATTCAACACACGTCATTTTATCGCTGTTTTCTGCTCCCCATTATAATTATAGTGTCTAATGTTCTATAGATAATGGTACGGAACCCTGCGGTGCACAAAACTAGCACTTGGCCGGTTTTTAGGGTTCCGTAGTCCAGACAAGGAACCCTTATAGTTTCTTCATGTTAGTCTGTCCTTCCCCGGTTTTGCTTAGAAACTATTAACACTAGAAATCTGTAATTTTGTGGAGATAATTATGTATATCAATCACGTCAACAAAACAGTAGAATAAAATTTTGAAAAATATTCTTTTTAGGCAGCTCTCCTGCATGTAACCTGGGGCTGATTTCTTTTTTCACCATCTAACCTATCGTGTGGGATACCGTTGAATACATCTTTTAAAATTACTTAGGGGTTCCTAAGACTATTTTTCGATTTGGGGATCTATTTGCGAAATATTAGGGCGATTATCGAGTAGAGCGTCCCCCGCCCTCTAAAAGCTAAACTAAGGCTTGAAAAACCTGGAAAAATTCATGATAATAGTGCTTTTCTTGAACTTTTAAGGAAAGCTATAACGATTAAGATAGATTTGTTACTTTAAGAGTAATAATCGTTCAACTAAGGTTATAGAAAATTTCTTACCTATTGAAAATTCCTTAGAAGACAACATTCAGTGACATAGATTAGGGTCGACAATTTTTGAGACCAAAAAAAATTATAGTAGGATGAAACCCATTAGAAAAGGTAGAGAATATAACAAAAATGAAAGGAAAAATAAATTACGGGCGATCTGAGGTCGGAAAGGGGAGGGGGTGAGTTTTTAAGGGTAAAAAATGGTTAATCTCGATTTTCGGTAAAACTGCAAGTCCTATGAAAAAAAGTTAAATGGCAAAGTTGTAGGTAATAAAAAGATCTACAACTTCTGTATCGACACTTTTTTCACATAACCTCAAAATTTATGTGAAAAATGCGAATAACCGAGTTTTTGGTTTTTGATTTTTAATTTTTGCAAAAAAAAATATTTTTTCACGAAGTTTGGTGAAAACTTATCTTTGTATGTCCCAAACATACAGTTATTCTTTTGATTTAAAATATTCATTTTTTCACCTTATTTTGACTTAATGTCGAAAAAGCACCCTTATTTTCAATCGAAAATTCTCACGTCAAAATATCTGCTTTTTTAAAAAAGTTGGGGTGTTTTTTGTTTGTTAATAGCTCTACTTTCTGATGGTCTAAAAAAAATATACACTACTATGGTAAATATTCTCAGAAACTGCAAATTAATAATGAAAAAAACTCCAATCCGAAAAATTGATTTGAATCATTATGTATAATTTTGAACTATTTATTAAAATTTACACTTTAATTACTCGAAAAACGTAAGATTTCATGTTATATTGATAAACAGAAAAATTACAAATCCATAAAACATGCAAAAATAGTTGTTGTAAGTAGGTATTAAAAATAGGATTTTCGGATTCGAGTTTTTTTCATTATTAATTTGCATTTTCTGAGAACATTTATCATAGTAGTGTATATTTTTTTTATACCATCAGAAAGTAGAGATTTCAACAAACAAAAAATACCCCAACTTTTTTAAAAAAGCAGATATTTTGACGTGAGAATTTTCGATTGAAAATAAGGGTGCTTTTTCGACATTAAGTCAAAATAAGGTGAAAAAATGAATATTTTAAATCAAAATAATTACTGTATGTTTGGGACATACAAAGGTAAGTTTTCACCAAATTTCGTGAAAAAATATTTTTTTTTTGCAAAAAATCAAAATCAAAAACTCGGTTATTCGCATTTTTCACATAAATTTTGAGGTTATGTGAAAAAAGTGTCGATACAAAAGTTGTAGATCTTTTTATTACCTACAACTTTGCCATTTAACTTTTTTTCATAGGACTTGCAGTTTTACCGGAAATCGAGATTAACCATTTTTTACCCTTAAAAACTCACCCCCTCCCCCTTCCCGACCTGAGATCGCCCGTAATTTATTTTTCCTTTCATTTTTGTTATATTCTCTACCTTTTCTAATGGGTTTCATCCTACTATAATTTTTTTTAACTTTTCACCATTTTTAAAATTATCGACCCTGGTCTGTTAAGTTATTGTAGCGTAAAACATTGCATTGCAACAAAATCTAAAAAAAACTATTTAAAAACCACGATAAAATATTAGTTCCACAACGCTGCCGCGAGTACCAACAACAATGGCTTTCAAAGGGTTGAATAGGGTAAATACCCTTGTTCGATCGTTTTCTAAAACTTGTCAAATGACAAGTTTTAGAAAACGATCTCACGGTATTGACTAATGTTTATAGAGTCCGTAAAAAGTGGACAATCATCATACTGTTGTGTATTTCAGTAAAAATAACCAAATCAAAAACTCCATTTTCAAGTAGCCGCGAAAACGTTACTGTCAACAATATTAAATACCCTAGATACACCACGTGCGCTCAAAATGTGTCCCTATCAAGAAGTGCTTGAACACGAGTCACTTTTTGGTTCACAGCAGTGTTGCCAGGTTTCCAGATTTTACAGGAGATCTCCTGTTTTTCTGAATTTTCTCCTGTTTTACTGTTTTTCTACATGAATCTCCTGTTTTTCTTAGAATCGTAATCTAAGAAAAACTTCTTTTTTAAATTGTATGTTGAGTTGCATTTTCAGCCATTAATAATGTAGGTAAACTTATTAATTTTAAAATAAATGTTTTTGTCTATAAAAAAACTAACTTTAAGGGGCGGTAGAAGTCACAGAAACACATAAACACATTCGTTACTGGTCTTTATCTTGATCTGATTTACCAATTCTAGGGGGGGGGGGGGGCAAAAAATCGAAAAAAGTACGCCTTTGCATCTACTGTTTTTCTTGTAGTTCTTTCCATACATCTACTGTTTTTTTTCTATAACACCTCCCGATTTTTAAAAATTGGACCTGGCAACACTGGTTCACAGTCACGCGCGGACCGTTGAAAAGTCAACATGCCGCAGAGCTCCGTGAAAAAATGCGAAATGAATACATATAGTATATAAAATGTCGTTTTTTCGACAGATATGTCATCAATGTTTGTTAATTTAACACATTTGAAGCAAATTTGTTTTAATACTTACTATAAACTGGTTTAATAGAAAATATTTGTGATATTCAAATGCATGGTCGGTAATATAGCCGTCTCTTTTCCTCGCGGTCCGTACCTGCTGTATTGCTAACAGCGCATTCAGAATTGTAGAGTCAAAGAACTAAGGTCTATATTCTTCCGAATATAGCAATAAGTCGTAAAATTTTACGAACTTACATCTCGGACTGTCATAACTTTTTGACGCATGCGCTTTGATTAAGATCTTATACGGTGTGCTTAACATATAATGACTTATATTGTTTAGACTATGCGCAATTATCTTACCGAGCTCCGTGGATCGTCCAATGTACCTTTTGGACAGGTTCCGGGCATGATTTTGTTCGTGTTGGTGTATCTAGGGTATTTTAATATCGTTGGTTTCTGTGGACAATATGGCGTCTTACTAGTGTGTGACGTCACACGACTGTTATTAAAACGTCAAACGATACAATGTAATGTCACTTTAACCGGAAGTTTACTTGCGTGTGACGTCATTTTAGGCTCCGCCAATCCCAAGCATTTTGGGTCACGTGACAATAGGTAAGAAAACTATTATCTTTTTCGTTAGTTTTTAGTAAAATTATGAATATTTTTTTTGTAAAAATAGTAAAAACCCCTGCCTATATTCATTCTAAACACCGATGCTAACAATTGGCACTTTATTTTTAACACTGTCAAATACCCTGATTGAATTGAATGAACCATTTGCTCCGATCCGCCTGTCTTTGGAAGTAATCTCCACCTTGCAGAAAACTACATTTAAATAACACAACCTTTTGATGGTAGTGTCTGTGCCTAAGGTTCCATGGCTCCGCGGGGTAGTGGATTAGGGTGAGGCCAAACGAGCGTAATTTTGTGAGTGGTGAGTCGCAGAATTTCGGTCGCAGAAATTCTGCTGCATTCGGTTTCATACAAAAAGGCAGTTGGTGCCACACGACAACGCAAAATGAGTTGTCTGCCGACTCAATGCGCATAAGCTCGTCCGAATTTCGGTCGGGGTGAGAGTAGGGCAAGGAAGGGGAGAGGGGAAGCAACAGTTTGTTACAAGTTGCGTGGTGTAATAATTCTTGAAAAACACGTAATGGCATATGATAGTACTTTTCAAACATATCTGAATTTGCACATAAACGTTCATATAAAGTATGGAACTGTCCACATATCAGCCTCTGACTATTCAGTGGGTTTACCCAGTTTCTTTTTCTGGCCTCATCTTCTGAATATGCTTCGTAAACACACAATATTTTTAATGCATCCATTGCACTCGATGACACGAACACCCCGTACTAACGCTCAATAGTAACTGAATAAATTACGTTCATATGGCAGCTCAACAGAAATTCAGTTGAACGTAAAATAAGTGACCGAAAATAAGCGACTCACAACTCACAAAATTACGCTCGTTTGGCTTCACCCTTAGACACTAGCTTTGGTATCTATTGTCACCACATGAATAACTATCAAATTAATAAATTGATACCCTCAGATTAGACTCATGATTTATCTAGACACTATCATAATTTACGATATTAATTAGAAATGCTCGTGACACAATACCTATATTACGGCTATTTGCTGTTGCGCAGAGATTATCGTCTCTTGAATAAATATATGTAATAAAGAGAAATTATCATCAACGTAAAGCAGTAAAAAAGCCAATTAAATAATACTTAACATTTATTCTTACATCACTTCTTACAAACCATACAAAATAAAACCATCAGTCTTACAATGGCACTGCCAACTTTGGAAACGGAATAAACACACTTAAATTTAAAAAAAAAGCATCAGCTTTAACATTACAATCAATCAACCTCCTCTTCCTTCCACATCACGACATCTTTAAATTAAATAATTCTTGCTTCACCTCCAGTTACTTCGCAGTAAGTCTACTTCTTCTCGTCTTTGGAATCTGCAGATGGTGACGTCTCATCCTTGATCTCCTTCCTTACGGGTCCTGTGCGAGCGATGGGTACACTGCGTTCGTTCGCTAGCTCAGGAGGTGCCTCACGCGGCGCCGTGATGGTCAGCACTCCGTCAGAAGAAAGGCGAGACTCCACGCGCTCCACAGCCACGCCCTTCGGCAGCGCGTACCGCCGCGTAAACTGCCGCGAGATGTAACCGTGCTCGTCCTGCTTCTCTTCGTGCTTACCCTCCACCACGATGAAGCCGTCCGCCGTCTTCACAGATATCTCCTCCGGCGCGAAGTGCTGCACGTCCAAATTTATCTGTAACTTGTCCTTGTCCTCTTTGATGTTGGAGCCCATGTCGCGAGCAGCCGCCGCGAGCTGTCTCCAGGGCCTGATGTAGTCTGAAGAACGTGATGGGGCGACGACGGCCGTGAGCAAGTCGTCAGGTGTAATCGCCAGTCCGAAATCTTGATCTAGCAGACGGTTGGGCCAGTAGTGGTGATGGCGGTGGTGACGAGGATGTTCGTAGCCAAAAACAAATGGTAACAAAGACATTTTTCTTATTTTCAACTCTCAAACTCCGTTGATATCGTAAAAAGATTGGTAAAAGTTGAAAATTCGCTGCGTATGCTTGTAAACACTCCAACCTGTTTGAAGCTTGTTTTCAAATTCACTGCCGGCAAGCGCCACAGACGCGTATTTATATCGAACGACAGCGCCATCTAGTACCGAGTAGAAGTCTAGCATTATCCAGACTATTCGAGTATTCACACACTGACAGGGGAACTCAACTAAAGGACGCTAAGAATTCAAAACAGACGTGAAAAATGCATAGAAGATATTTCTTATTTTTATCAGATAATAAAAGCAACGTTTTCAATAAATATTACATGAAATACGGTAAATTGCTTTGTTAGATGGCTTTTTAATAAATCTTATATATTACTAGTATGAATTATTATATTATAATTGAATACATTTAAGTAGCAAAAACTTAATAAGTACTTAGAATCAAAGTTTAGGTGAGAATTTAGATTCTGGAATGAAAAGCTCGCATTTTGAATAATTTAAGTCAAGGCCAATATTCTTCAATATCAATAATGACATCAACATAATTGCGACCGGTCCATAGAGTTGGGTGCCCCTGATTTTGAGTAGCAATACAGTGTCAATGCACCTCTCCGGCACGGATTAATGCCGTTGCTTCTGGTATGTCTGCGAATATTCTAGTAGGTCAGGGATACTGTGAAAAAGGTCAAGTTCAGTGGTTTAGATGAAAAAACGATTAGTCATGCATGCATGGTTAATCTATTGTTAGGAAATAGGTGATTTGTTATTTTTAAGTAGGTACACCATTACTTTCTTAATATGTGATTATTAAAGATGATAAAAATGGATAGGTTTACTAATAAATTAATTACATAGCTAGTTAGCCGGTATTTAATTAGTAAATAAAATCATCATCATAATCAGCTGATGAACGTACACTGCTGGACATAGGCCTCCTCTAGGGATTTGCAAAATATAAAATGAAAAAGTAAAGTTGTAGTACCGTAAAGTGGGGCTAATTGGGACATTTATTTATGTAATAGGTGTTTTACAAAAAACTGCAGTTAGTTTATCAATATAGATCGTCATTTTTGGGTAGATCTTACAATTTTCTCTAAATGACTGCTATACTTGATCATTTCTGTGAATAGATCTAGATAGATACATGGTTTTAAAGGTGCCGTTCCAAAAATCGCATCGATGAGGTTATTTGGTATCTGAGTTAATTGCTTTTGGTTTTCTTATTTTTTGAGACCGTTTCGAAAAGAAACCAATGAGCGATATTTGAAAAAGTTAAATAAAAAGGAGCTGTTTTCAGTTGATGTCAATTTCACTTCATACGGTCACTAAAAAGGTGAATAATTACCATGAATTATTTAGACGTAATGATAATCTGTCGCAACTTTGGGGTTATTTGGAATATAACGTTAAATATCCAATGAGTTTTTAACAAGAATGAAGCATTATTTGGAATATTTAAGGAAAAGTCTTTTCTATTTTATCCCCGCTGATTAAAAAAAGTAAAATCATCAGTTGGTTTATCAGATAGAAGACTTAAGAGAAAATTATATGGGCAGGCACAAATAGATAAAAAAATGTGTGTGTCAGCTCCTTTTTGTTTTAATCTAAGGTCAGTTCCGACTGGAGTTTACTCCTCTTAAGGAGGTCTATCGAATAAGTTCGATAGTCTAACCTGACGCAAAAAGAGTTTATTTAACTTAAAAAAGATTGATACTGTATGAAAGGGTAAATTAACAAATTAATGAAAATAATATACATATATAAAAATATATTTATTCATTTCATATACATTTATTATAACTATTCGACGAAATATTTTACATTAAACTTTTTACAATAGTCAATTTCAGATGTGCATAAATATATAATTAGGAATGTTGATAAATTATGTAATTATTATTATCAGTCTATTATCTTTTTTTTAAATATTAATTAAATCAACAGTGTCTGCATTATTAATTACAGTGACAAGTGGTTTATGGTAACTAAAATAAGACACATGGACGTTCGTAGATACGTGGTTCACGAATCTTGAAAATACCGCATCAATGGTTGTACCATACCTCGTTGTCCCCTTTGCTCTATCAGAAACAATATCTAAATTCAGTTCAGATTTTAAAATTTTTAATAATCTCAATCCGTCATCTTTGTTTGTCAAGGTTGCGCGACATAGGATGCGCACCAAAAACGTAACGAGGTCATTCATCGATAGATTTTACTCCTCACATTTTTCTTATACCGGGCCCCTTATATATGCAAATCGATTCTTAAGGAGTAAACTCCAATAATAAACAATAAATTACATAGGATCTATTTTAATATTATCAGATTTAATAAATTAATAATTTTAAAATAAAACTAGTTACTTCTGAATTATATTTTAATAATTTTATTTAATCACAATTTTTCTAGTTATTTTACAATGCCTAATTACTGACTTATCTAATTATTACGTAAGTGACTACCTACATATTAATAAAGGTAGGTCAGTAATTAGTCTTTGCAAAATTTTTGGTATGTTCGGACCATGCTTGCATATCTGTAGTATAAAATAAAAAAAATCGTAAAAATATAGTGCCCCAAAACATCTTAACCCTTAATTAGGTTAAAATGAGCAATTGGGGTTATTTGAAACGATGAATAGAAGACTTAGCAATGTTTGACAGACTTTCAAGGGGCTATTTAAAACAAAGTTTCAATTAACTCCAAAACAGAAACCAAAAAGCCCCATAGTGAAAAAACCGAATAGCGTGACAGGCCGTAAGAGATAGAAAAAGGCTAATTCAATCACTGTAATGCCGATGAAAAACACTATTTCGCAATCTATTTCACTCTTTACATACCTTTCTAGATGTAGTGTACCAGACGAAAGTTTTGGCACCACAAAATACACCCAAATTTTACAATTTTTTGAATAACGCATTGCTCAACACTGTTTAATTCTATGGCATTAAAATTAAGGAACTTATGATAAAGCCAAAATTATTCCCTATTTTTGGAAATTGCAAATGATCGTTACCTCTTTCTAATACGTATTTGTAATATGTCCTAAATTTTGACCTAAAAGTTGAAAGTCCTTAGTTTTGAAAACATTGAGTTTGGGTGAAGATAAAAGAGCTTTTTTGCAAGTTTGCAGAAAATTGCTATTCTGAAAGATAAGCAACATTTTGAGGAGTAAAAAAAATGTCGATTTATTTTATTTAAACTTTATTTTTGTTTTTAAACATTTTGTATATTATTGCCGTTTCAAGATTGCATGTATTCGAAAATAGTTGCTGTTGATGACGAATTTGAAAGCTTTTTAAGTTAATGTTTTTTGAAAATTTAAAACTTGGAAATAATTTAGTTATATTATAACTCTCGCTTATAACTCTTTGTTGAAAGCTCAGTGAGTTATGGTAAAATAACCCTATCACATTTTTTACAATTATCAAAACATGTTTAATACAGCACAGATATAATAGATTCCATCAACTTTTCATAAATTATGAGACACACACACGTGTGTGTGAAAAATTCTAGAGTTATCTCCGAAAACAACATTGTTTTTTTGGATAGCCAAAGAATCAGCCTTTTAACAAGTTATTACTCCATTATCATTGGGTCTAGTAATATTTGAAGTCCAGAATTTTGATAAATTTATTATAAGCTGCAATTTTACTGCAAATGGTTTTTTTCATAAATACTTATTTTCAGAGTTATTCATGAAAAGCCATCTCAAAGCGTAGTTTGTTTTCTTTGATAACTTGACTTTTACACTTTGGAATAAGTCGAGAAGTATTGACTTTCAGCCACGGCCGTAGCTAGGGTGGGGCATTGTGGGGCAATGCCCTACCTTGAAATCACAATGCCCTACCTTAAAAATACCAAAAACTAAGATAATTTTTTATAATTAAATTGTTTGTATATGGGTTAAGATAAAAAAAATAGTAGCAATAGGTGCATCATTGACCTAGAGGTCAATAATATACATGGCGATTGATTTAGGAGGCCCGTGCTCCGAGGGCAGATCAATTATGATATTTTTTTTACTTCCGCCCTACTTGTAACCAATGCTGCCCTACCTCAAATTCGACTCTAGCTACAGCCATGCTTTCAGCAGAAATAAAACACCACCAAAAGGTAGTGTCATTTTACTGTGATCTTCTGTAAGTTGGAGGTTGCTTCCTCAACGAGCGCTCCAATTCGAGCGGGAAGTCCGCTGTGACCTACCTCTCTTGATGGGGAGGAGGAGAGTTAACTTTATCTCAAAAACAAAACAAATATACCAATGCAAAAATAACTCAAGCTATCTTTATTTAATACGCTTGTTAGCCTAAATCGATTTCGATGAATTTTAGTCGCAATCGCAAATATATCCTTAATTTGGGTAATAGGACATGAAGTACATATTTATATTTTTTAAACAAACATGAAAAAAATTCAGAACGGATTTGGATGGAATATGGTTTACAGATCACGAATATAATACAAAGAATATTTTTTATCCTTGCAAAATTATAGGTTCTTATGTTTATAAATATATATTAGCTGTTTATAATTAATAATAACGTATTTTTAGTACTTATGACTGTGTCAACGAAACTTTTTATATCTTTAATAATTTAAGGTAGCCTTATTCAGTTAGCTTTATGCTAAGCATAAAGCTATACCTAGTTCAGCCATTATAATATCACTCTAGGACTTAATAAAATTACTGAGTGACCTAGAATATTTACCACCTAATTTTATAATCCATAAAACTGTGCATTCAACCCACTCACCCTAAGAATTGTCAGACATTCATGATGCTACCTTAGGATGCTACTAGAAGTTATTTCGAGAAAATTTTAGTTATCACGATTGTGTAACACGAATTGTTTATTTTGTCGAATCCTCGACCCTGAACAGTGTTAACGCCCTGGTTTTACTCACACACATACATCTAATCAGCTGTGATGGTCACGCAAACATACATAATAAAATTGTTTTGACAACACGCAGCAGACGTCGCGTCGTGTGCTTTCGAGAATTTTCTGCTCGTTACTAGATGGCGCTGTCTGGCGAGTATAAATACGCGGCTTTGTCGCTCGCCGGCAGTGAATTTGTAAACAGACAATTCGAAGCGCTAAAGCGACGAAACAAGCGAACTTGCAACCCTCATCGACTTCTCAAGTATTATTCAACGAAAGTGAGAATGTCACTGTGTCCATTCTACTTTGGTTACGACCATCCTCGCTCCCGTTACTGGCCCAGCCGATTGCTCGACCAGGATTTCGGGCTGGCTATCACGCCGGACGATCTACTAACGGCTGTAGTATCGCCTTCACTATCAAATGACTACTTCAGACCTTGGAGACAGCTCGCGGCAGCTGCTCGCGACATCGGCTCCAGCATCAAGGCGGATAAAGACAAGTTGCAGATAAATTTGGACGTGCAGCATTTCGCACCGGAGGAAATATCTGTGAAGACGGCGGACGGGTACATCGTAGTGGAGGGCAAGCACGAAGAGAAGCAGGACGAGCACGGGTACATCTCGCGGCAGTTCACGCGGCGGTACGCGCTGCCGAAGGGCGTGGCTGCGGAGCGCGTGGAGTCTCGCCTCTCCACTGACGGAGTGCTGACCATCACGGCGCCGCGTGAGGCACAAATTGCACAAGCGAACGAACGCGCCGTGCCAATCGCTCGCACTGGACCCGTAAGAAAGGAGATCAAGGATGAATCCGCAACCGATGAAGTTAAGGCTGACGCCAAAGATGAGAAGAAAAAGTAAAAGAAGTGTTATTAAAAGCGGAACGAAGCTGGTCTTTTGCAACCAAAAGGTCATAATTTGAAGATGCATTTTCTAAATTATTTTTTGTAGTTATCCTACCTGTCTGTGTACTTTGAGACTGATAACCTTAGCTGTGCCTATTATGTTTGTATAATATAAAATTTAAGCATGTTTGTATTATTGTGAAAATCTATTTAGAGCTTTTGTTAGTTTATAATAAATTGTAATTTTTAAGAAATATCAGATCTTCTTTTATTTCATTTCTTATTTCCCAAATAAACTTCACTTTATCAGAACTATCAAAACATATTGATATAATTAAAAATAGTTAATTTTATTCAAGCATTTACCTTAGATTAAAACAAAATCCCTTTTTGTTTTATTCGAACACATTTACTTAACTGCAAAAAATTTAAATACAAACTAAATTGTAAAAAACATCCATTCGGCTTAGGCATCATACAGGATGCGAACCCGCGCCTTCCGTATATTTTTTTTAGACTTATAATAAAAAATCATTAATTTCTAATAAAGTATAACAATGTATATGACACACGCGGCGATATTAAACTTACAAGGTCTTTCTTCAAATATTTGCTCCAGTTCCCCAGATCCTGACAGGCCTTAGCGTTGTGCAGCTCAGTAGCAACACATTGTTTTGGTTGCGGCTACAGATCAAATAAAAAGATTGCAGCCACCCACCCAAGACATAGTCGGTACGGATAGGGTGGTGTTGAATTTGGTATACTCTTCGGACTCATTCATGTCCTTATAGGTCGGTAATGTTTTTGTAAACATTGATGATGAGAAACCCCTACTTACGTTACTAATAAATGTGATTTATAAACCTAGTTAAATGCTTTCAATAAAAATAAAATAAACTCACATCAAATATTTTATTGGATATCAGATAATAAAGTAACATACATTTTAATAGGTACCTATTATAAGGTTAAAGAATTTCTGTTTTTTATGCATTAACTAAGTGATCAAATCACTAATGTAGAAGAAGGTAATAACAATAGTGATTTCGAGTAAACGTTATTTTTATATTTTTAAGCATTTAACTGCTTTAAATCTAAAGAAAATTATACCAGGAAAAACCATGCGGACCAAGTCCCGTCTTCTGCCTGGTTTTTTCTGGTATAATTTTCTTTAGATTTAAACGTTATTTTGTTAAATATTATCGGTTTGACATTGTTTTTTCTTGCATGAGGTTTTTACTTGCACCTAATTGTTTATTAAGTTTTCAGCAATATTTGCTATGTATGTAATATAATAATGATATTAATCGTTGGTTAAGCAATAAATAAAAAAAATGGGTGCGTGTACTTATGTAGGCGCGTGAGAAGTTATCCTTCTTTGGCATCGTTTAAAATTAGTTTTTAATTGCATGCAAATAATTAATTACAATAAATTAATAAAAAGTCTGGAAAAGGACACAGTCAATAAAGTTCAGTTTTAATTTGAAAAAATAAATAAATAATCAAAATATTCAATTAAAATCGCTACTGAATATAATTTATTAGAACATATGTGATTTGCACTTGTATGAAACTCAAACACGTATTCCGAATATACAAACTAGAAACATGTGGATAAATATTATAAATATGAATACCTATAACTGTTACTTTATTACAAAAAATAAAGATGTGGTTTTTGGTTCTACTACACCAATGGTCAAGAGATGGCGCTGTAGTCTCCTGAATCGCGCTTTGGTTCCGTTGTTCCAGGTTAATAAATACTTTTGATAGGCCTTCACAATGCAGTCGTTAGCACCCACTAAATAGAGATTCTATTTCTATTTTGTTGGTAGATTTTCTTAATGTGCGGTAAACACAAAAGTAACAGCATGAGGTTGGTTAATTTTTGTGTTACAGTGATGCGCGCGCATCTTAAAAGGACAATGTTAAAATTGGCCTAAGAACCAACACCAATTTGGCATTTATGATTATTCTTAGTATATTTTTTGCGATAATTATCAGTATTTAGATTGTGACGGACACTTCCAGTTATGTAAGCTAAATTAAAAAGTTAAAAAATAATCTGAGACAATAAATACCATTTTATGTGTATAATCTATGGCAGCGCTGCAAACAAAACACTCTTTTTATTCCTAATGACGGCACTTCACTTGGCTATTCGTATTTGCTATTTTAAATCATGGCATCAGTCTGTCCTTTTCATTCCTTACTAAGCATGACAAGGACAAACTGTTGTCAAGTGAAGGGCCGGCATAAAACTCGTTACTCTGTGGTTGTGGTGCATGCAGTTTGCATTCGTAGTAATCTGTGGCATTCGTGCATTCCAAAGAGTAGTTTAATATACCGGAAAGTGCGTTCTCGTTTCGGATTACCTGTTGTGTGTGTTTATTTGCGATTGTTTTTCCTTTAATTTAACTATTTCGGCTATCTAATATGCCATCGATGTTACCAAAGAGCAGAGCCCTTATTACCAAGTGCTAGTAAACCTGTGCCACAACATCCTGAGAGGATCATACTGCCAAATTATTCAAGAACACCTGATACACATTCACACTGCATATTTACACAATATACCTACATGTGATATACAAATAAATACAATAAACAATATGATACAATTATGTGAAAAATAGTCAATAAATAAGAAGCAAGACTACAGTTTTTATTTTATTCATGATTCCTACCTAACCAAATTTTTCCTAATAGTTATTCTTCAAAATCACACCGAATGAAATGAATTAGTTGTAATATTAATTCACTTTATACTGAGTTTATACTAAATTCATAGATGGACCTATGTTTCATTGAATATTAAACATAACCTCAAAATTTTTTTAGTTTTCCTAATAATTTAAGTTCTCAGAAGTGTCCGTCAATATTTTTTTGTTTTTACAGTCATTTACTTACGATTTTGAACCTAGAAAATAATATTTCATGATTGTTGGTTCTTAGGCTAACTATGTATGGACGCTGAACAATGTCCTTTCACTCTCATCATTTTTTAATAACGCGCCTAAAGAAGTATAACTTCAATAAGTGCAATGGCTCTGCATCAAATCAAAAAACCAATCAAATCGTTTGTTATTACAAGCAGCTGGCATGTTTATTTATGATGGTAACTACTTCGTAAGTAGGTGCCCTATCAAAATTTTAGGTCCATAACTGATTTTGTATCTATGCCTCAGAAGTACATTTTACATTCTCTTTGGGAATAAACCGATAACTTCATTAAATTAACACAGAACAGAAAATAGTTTTGTTTTACCGCTACGTTCCGACGTGTCTGTCTGTCGTTGCAGGGACTCCCTCGCACTTGCAATATCACCCTTACTATTACTAATTAAAAACATTGGTCAACGTAAAATTGTTACGCCAAATTTTTTTGTTCGCACCGTGAATTTACACTTTCATCGACCGCGCGTGAATCCGCGAAAACTTTCACAGAGCTTCACGGCACAAGTGTGCAGCCGGCGTTAGATAACAAGCCATAGTGATATTGAAATGTCAAAAATATTTCAAACAATTCAGCGCCCACTAAATTACCTTTTTTCATTTGCATTAACCATTTACTGAATTTCGCTTTACCACTTACTTAACCGATTATGTAGAAATTGTAAATACTTCTATGAGCAATGTTTCTCACTCCCTTTTTGGGCATTAACCTCCGGCCTAGAGTATTCGACTGGATAAAGCAAATGCGTGGCATCAGGCCCACCATCAAGATAGGGAAAGAAAGATTCCAGTTGAAAATAGACGTTAAGCAGTTCAACAAAGAGGAGATAAGAGTGAAAGCGAGACCGGAGTACGTGATAGTGGAAGGGAGACAAGAGAGGAAAACGAAGGACGGTTATGTGTTGCGACGATTTGTCAGGAAGTTCAAGCTGCCACAGGGTTGTGACCCTTGCACTATGAAGACTAACTTATCAGCTGACGGAGTCTTGACTGTGACCGCTCCGAGAAGCACTTGTGATATAAACATGCCGTGCGAAACTGTGCTTCCGATATCGTTTAGGGAAGCCAAAGAGGAGAACCTGGCGACGGTACAGAAGACCGACCAGAAAACACCTCAGGACTCCTGAGTGAGGAACGGCTAGTAGATGAATTAAAAAAGTAATGTAACTATGTATTGTAATGTCTAATAAATTGAATATTAACTACATGTTTAGTAAAGCCTAAAGTATTAAAACATTTTTATTAACATAGCTTAGAATTGTTATTTCGTTTTTACATTGTATACAGCATTATCTAATAATCTATAGGTACTTATCTAATATTATATAGTGGTAAAGTTTGTGAGGTTTTAGGGGGTTAATCGCTAGATCTACTGAACCGATTATGATAATTCTTTTACCAATACACAGCTACGTTATTTGTGAGTGTCATAGGTTAAATATTAAAACAGAAACTGTAGTTAAGTTTTAATTTCTGAAGCATTTAACTGCTAGATGTATAAATTCCACGCGGACCAGGCAGCAGACGGCACCCTTCGCTATCCGGGCGAATGCACTGACCATTATGCTACCGCGGCCCTGACGGCCGTGTCGAATTTTCTCTAGCGAAGAATTCTCCCGGATAGCGAAGGGTGCGGCTTCGAGTCCTGTCTGCTGCCTGGTCCGCGTGGATCTTTTCCAATAAACTTTCCTTTAGACAGAAACTATAGTATAGACGACCTCCGTCCAATTCGAGTGGTTTGTACGCCGGGTTTCATGGTTGCCGACTCGAGAGGTCCCGGGTTCGAATCCCGGTGGTGATGATGTTTGTGTGATGAATACGAGCATTTGTAAACGTATAACATTTTCGGTACTTTTAAGCCGGTACGAATCTCGCCGGGTCAGCTAGTACTCGTATTAAATAAACGAGCTAACATGTTCGTAAGTCTAAAAACTGGGTATTATCTATCACTGCGATTTTTTTGCTACACCGTTATCTATTTGCGATGCCTACGCATTTATCATATTTGCAAACAAACTTGGTACAAGTTTATCTTTTTATGGAGTGCAGACAACAACGATAAGGGTGAAGAAATTTTCCAGATAAATATCAGGTATAATTTTTCAGTCAGATCTCTAATTCGTATTCCGTTGTCTACCAGTTACTAAACGCTAAAATATTTAAAAACTATACCTACTTATATTATGGCGCTACTTATGGCGAAATTAGACGGTTCTCCAAAAGTGATTCATTTTTGTAATAATTTGTGAATCATGAACAGTGAACTGCATTGTTTTGTATAGAGCCATTACTTTTGATGAAAGCTAATATTTCATTCCATACTTTTGAAATAAAAAAGACTGGAAAATTCATTTCATTTTGTTCTACAGTTTCAAAGAAAGCTGAAGGAGTTAACT